CCACTGCTTCTGCTAGAAGTAGCTGACATCTCAGCCTCCTGCTGAACTATTTCCTCAGACAGCATTCCCCTCTTTTGCTGCCAGTCACACACCCTCTGGATCAGTTTATCCCTCCAATTTGTTAAGTTATTGGATCTGAGTGCAAGCTTTCCCTTAATCCTTGGATCACACAGGCAAGCTAGCATCAGTTCAGGAGAATTATCCATTCGCTCACGTAGGCGAACTTTAAGCTGATCCTTCAGCCTCCTGACCAGAGTTACTACATCAGGATGTAAAGGATCACCTTGAACAACCTCTTGGCGTTCAAGAAAGACACCCATCTTGCTCCCCAGATGGGTGAAAACAGGGATTACCTGTCCCAGATTGGCAGTGTTCAAGCTTAAATTTTCAGTGGCATCCCTGAATGGTTTCAGGACTGCCACTAGCTGAGCGATCACTGTCCAATCGTCTCTACCTAGTGGAAAACCAATACCGATGTACTGGTCTGATGCCAGACTATGGATTGCCCTCTGCTGCTCTAAAATCCTCTCCAGCATCTCCGCAGTAGAGTTCCACCGTGTACTGACATCTTGTCGTAGACAGTGTGTGGGCCTCTTGTTCCTGCCTCAACAGTTGGCTAGCCTTCACACTGCGGTGGAAGTGCCCAGCAATCCTCCTGCACCTTTCAATTACACTGGAAACTCTGTTATTACCTTCTGGGATTGCTGACTTTACTACTAGATGGATAATGTGCGCTGCACATTGCACACCAACAAGGTTACCATCACGCAGAGCTTTCACCATATTTGTGGCTCCATCAGTAACCACAAACCCCACTTCTACATTGGTGCCTGCCTCCGCTCCAACCCAAAGAGACACCATCCTCCTTACTGCCTGCAGAATGTTATCTGAAGTGTGTTTTTCATCCATCACTTCAGCATGGAAAAGGAAAGATCAATAGCCCAGCTGATCTACAGATACACTTCCTCCCTTTCTGCTAGACACTGCTGCTGAAGTTGCAGGAGCAGCTTCCTGAGACACACCAGGCTCCCACCAGTGTGCCGTCAGGGAAAGAAAGGCATGCTGGCCACTTGGTGCACTCCACAAATCTGTTGTAAAATGCACAGACTGACCAGAAGCCTTCGAAAGCTCCCTTTTCACTACTCTAACACAGGACCGGTAAAGTGAAGGGATTATCCTCCTGCTGAAAGTGGGGCATGAGAGAAGATGGTATTGTGGAGCCATAGCCTCCATCAACTGTTTGAAAGGCTCCCCTTCTATCATAGAAAACGAAGCACCCCCAACAGCAATTAATTGGCCAATAAGTCGCGTAATTATATTGGCCTGCTGTTTAGACATAGCCCTGGAGTGGAATCCCCCAAATTGTTCCATTGTGATGCTCCAACAAGCATTGGTTGTTGGCTGGCAGCATCAGTAGCTCTTGGCTCTGCAACACCTCCCCTGTCATTCCTAGCTGCCATGGTACTGGACACTGTAATAGTAGCAGCTATGCTGCCTGCCCTAGTACTTTCTGCCTCTTCCCTCAATAACATAGCCTTGTGATGGCTGCGAAGGTGATGGTTCATCCCTGTACTGGTGAGATGACCCAACACTCTCCCTCTGCTAACTTCCTTCCCACAAAGTTTGCACTTTGCAAAGCGCCTATCTCCAACACTTTCAAAGTGATCCCAAACTTTGCTGCGGCGCAAAACATTGGCACTTGCCCTTCGGGATTCTGCTGCTAATGGTGCAGGTTGATGAGCAGCAGGAGGAGTGCGACTACTGGTAGCTGGCACAGTAGCCTCGGCACTGGTAGTGTGGCTATTAGTACCAGTGATGGTGGTGATTGTTGGCACAGTTACACTGGTGGTGGTAACTGTGCCACTGCGAGGAGGGACAGTGGGCCTGGAAATAGTAGTGGTAATAATTGATTGCTAATGGTTGAAGTATCACTAGCAAGTGCTACTATTGGAGAAAGTGGAGAGGAAGGGGAAAAATGTGCACTTGTAGCAGGAGAAAAGGTTGGACTGCTCCCTGAAGAATTCTGACTTTCCTCTACTATCTCCTCCTCACTAGCAGGCTCATAGTCAAGCTCTTCATCAGCCAGACTAAATGCAATCCCTGCAAGGCTGGGGGAAGACTGATATCACTTCCAGGAATAATAGGACTAGGAGCACGGGGTAGCATTGGCAATGGCCAGGGCCGCCATCAGGGGGTGACAACCGTGACAGTTGTCACGGGCCCGGCGGCCCTGGGGGGCCCGGACTGCTCTGGCAGTCCTGGGCCCCACTTTCCCTTTCTGCACACATAGATAGCGCACTGCATAGCGCTATCTATGTGTGCAGCCGCGGGCCCCCAGCTCCCTGTTACCGCAGAGGGGGCCCAGCCAGGCAGCACACAGCTTCTCCTCCTGTCTTCTCTCTTCTCATAACTCTCGCGAGACCCGCGGAGCGTTGCCATGGTAACCGGGTCTCGCAAGAGTTATGAGAAGAGAGGAGAAGCTGTGTGCTGCCTGGGCCCCCTCTGCGGTAACAGGGAGCCGGGGGGCCCCCCACCGGACCACCAGGGATGGAATCTCCCCCCTCCATGGACACAGGTAAGCAGGGAGGGGGGAGAAACATTTAATTAAATTAATAAAAAATTAATGTTAAAATGCCCCTTCCTCCCCCTCACCCCAGATCACACACTAACAACATACACTGCATACACTAACACAACACACACACTGCATACAATAACACACACATACACTGCATACACTAACACACACATACACTGCATACACTAACACAACACACACACTGCATACACTAACACACACACACTGCATACACTAACACACACATACACTGCATACACTAACAACACCCACTGCATACACTAACACACACATACACTGCATACAATAACACACACATACACTGCATACACTAACACAACACACACACTGCATACACTAACACACACATACACTGCATACATAACACACACATACACTGCATACACTATACACCTTACCACTGCATACACTAACACAACACACACACTGCATACAATAACACCACACATACACTGCATACTAACACACACACATACACTGCATACACTAACACACACATACACCGCATACACTAACACAACACAAACACTGCATACAATAACACACACATACACTGCATTCACTAATACAACACACACACTTCATACACTAACACACACACTGCATACAATAACACAACACATACACTGCATACACTAACACACACATACAATGCATACACTAACACAACACACACTGCATACAATAACACACACATACACTGCATACACTAACACACACATACACTGCATACACTAACACAACACACACACTGCATACAATAACACACACATACACTGCATTCACTAACACAACACACACACTGCATACACTAACACACACACTGCATACAACACAACACACACACTGCATACACTAACACACACACACACTGCATACACTAACACACACACTGCATACAACACAACACACACGTCCTGCATACACTAACACACACATACACTGCATACACTAACACAACACACACACTGCATACACTAACACACACATACACTGCATTCACTAACACACACATACACTGCATTCACTAACACAACACACACTGCATACACTAACAACACACATTGCATACACTAACACAACACACACACTGCATACACTAACACAACACTACACACACACTACATACACTAACACAACACACACACACTGCATACACTAACACAACACACACACACTGCATACACTGACACACACATACACACACTGCATACTAACACAACACACTGCATACACTAACAAAACACACACACTGCATACACTAACACAACACACTACACTAACACACACTACACTAACACACACTACACTAACGCATACACTAACACACACACACACTGCATACACTAACACAACATACACTCTGCATACACTACACACTAACACACACTCTGCATCCGCTACACTAACACACACTCTGCATCCGCTACACTAACACACACTCTGCATCCGCTACACACTAACACACTCTCTGCATTCACTACACATTAACACTGCATTCACTACACTAACACACACTCTGCATCCGCTACATACTAACACACTCTCTGCATTCACTACAAATTTACACACACTATGCATTCACTGCACTAACACACACACTACATTCATTACACTGACGCACTCTGCATTCACTACACACCAACATACACTCTGCATTCATTACACACTAACACACACTCTGCATTCACTAAACTATGCACACACTCTGGATTCACTATACTGACACACACTCTGCATTCACTACACTAACATACACTCTGCATTAACTGTACACACAGCATCCACTACACAAACATCCTGTATTCACAGTACACACACTACATCCACCACAAATTGAAACACTCTGCATTCACTATACACAGACACTGCGTCTAATACACACACTACAGACACTGCATCCACTAAACACATTTCATCTAGTACATACAAACACTACATCCACTACACAAACACACACTACATCACTGTACACACACTACATCCACTACTCAAAAACACTCTGCGCTCACTATACACACTGCATCCGCTACACAAACACACACTCTGCATTCATTGCACAAACAGTATCTAATACACACAAACACTACATCCATTACACACATTCTAATTCACTTCCACTATACACACACCACATTCAGTCCTGCATCATTGTGGGCGGACTAGGTAGGGCGTGGGCGGGCCCGCGAGGAGGGGGGGGGGGGCCCAGACCTTGTGCTTTGTCATGGGCCCCAAATTTTCTGATGGCGGCCCTGACCGACCATACCCACGTGGGGACAGTCGTCGGCGGGTGCATGGGTTCTCCTGGCAGGGGTTGTGGGCGGACCGTCCTGGTTTCCTTACTTCCTCTACCCTTCTCTCCCTCCGCCCTCCTTCGCTCCTCTTGCCCTCCCGGCAAGACAGCCTGAAAACTGCCAAGGTTGCTGCCAGCCCTGTCCCCGTCCTGTGACACAAAAGGGCACCCAGGCTATGGCAATCTGCGAAACCAGTACCCCTGAGGAATCTCCACCTCCTGATCCAGAAACATCCGTACCTCTTCCTGAGGACATTTATGTTCAAGCAAGCACCATTACCACTTCCTGCCTTACTGACTGCACGTATGCCTCTAATGGCCCAGTTGTACGCAAAGTATTCTATCCTGCCTTGTCTGCAGCACTAGGGGGCTGGACTTCACCAGTGGCTCTCACCTATCAATCTCAGCCCACCTGAAGCTGATGGCCCAATTAGCCAGGTATAAGACACTGCCTCTCCCTGAGGGCAGTGTCAGTTCATAGACTCTGGTTCTGCTGTCTGGTTCCTGGTTTTGTGTATCCAGATCGTTTTGCTCCTGGCTCCTGACTTTGGCTTATTTGCATCGTGTATCCTGACTTTTGGCATCCTCTGACCTTGGCTTTCTTACTGTGTATCCTGACTTCTGGCATTCTCTGACCTTGGCTTTCTTACCGTGTATCCTGACTTCTGGCATCCTCTGACCTTGGCTTTCTTACCGTGCATCCTGACTTCTGGCATCTTCTGACTTTGGCTTACCCTTGATGATTCTCCTGCTTGTGTCCTTACCTGTACTGCGACCTGGAGCAATATCTTGCACAGACTCACAGGCCAAGTGAATTCTTACCTGACCACCGTGGCCTGTGTTTAATCGCAAGGGTGAGCATAAATCTCTGCCTACCGGGCTCCCAACTAAGGTAAGCCGTGACACATACATGTGGCAAGGTACTGAGAAAAAGTTGCCCTGATGACAATTTGTAAGCCTACATGTTCAGGACATAGCAGTCATGGTGGACTCTCCCCTAGAGACGATAAATTACCATAATCTATGGCTTTCTACTATAATCATAAACACGACTTTTTGAATAATCATAAACACGACTCAATATATTTATGTGGTGTCCTTGCAACGACATACTTAAGGATAGGGGTAGATACTTTGCTACTGTATGTTTATGTGATCATATGCCTACCACGTTTAATAAAAAACAAAAATATTTTTTTTTAAGATTGAATTATTTAAGATTTTGTGGATTTCAGTATTTCCTCCAAATTATCATTACACCAGCAGGCTGTTCACAGCAGGTATTAAATAGATTTTTAAAAAATTTTTAAATACTGTTTATTAAAAGATAGGTGATATTGCAGTGTTATGTCACTAGGGGGTGCTGCTTTGCTATAAATAGATTTCTGGCCTATGCATGCTAAAATTATTAAACCAGACAAAATAATACAGACTGGCTTTGCTGCGTAAGCGTATACGTTAAAAAAGTGATTTTGAAAGCTGATCTTGACTGATTTTTGTTTTTGATTTAAAGGCTCCCGCCTGAATACCGCCAGGGATAAGAACTTATCGCGGCATTTAAAAAGCAACATATACTCCACATCAGGGGGAATTTACCAAAGTATTTGATTCTAAAAAAAGTAGTCTAAAGAACTAAAAAAAAAAAAAGAAAAAAAAAAAGCAATCACCATGAAAACCAGTGGAACCAGCAAGCACATTCCACTCGTGACACTTTGATAAATAGAAACATAGAATGTGACGGCAGGTAAGAACCATTCGGCCCATCTAGTCTGCCCAATTTTTATAAATACTTTCATTAGTCCCTGGCCTTATCTTATAGTTAGGATAGCCTTATGCCTATCCCACGCATGCTTAAACTCCTTTACTGTGTTAACCTCTACCACTTTAGCTGGTAGATTATTCCATGCATCCACTACCCTCCTGATATTATTTTTAAACTTTTGCCCCTCTAATTTAAGACTATGTCCTCTTGTTGTGGTAGCTTTTCTTCTTTTAAATATGGTCTCTTCCTAATATTCATTTACAAATAAGAGAAATAGGAAAATAAATAATATAGTGTCACGTGTGTAATCATAAGTATTAGTAGTAGAATCACAATAAAAGTTGCGCTCACAAAACAAAAGGCACAAACGAAATGTAAAATAGCACTTTGGCTACAATGGCCCTGGACCTCCTGCAAGAACTCACTCCACTCACAGGGTCTCAGCTGGGCTGGAAATAAAGCCCAAGTGACAAGTAGTAAATCCGTGAGTGATTGAACAATCCTAGATAGTTTGACATTTTTCGTCCATCTGACTTCCTCATGAGCTGTAACTGATTCTGGATTCAAATCTTTATTTATAGTACTTTCCATCAATCAGACCTTTGTCAGCTGGTATGCGGTTGCAATGTCACCATGTGAGACGCTAAAAACAGTAGGATGCTGCGACCGCGCATGTTGGAGGTGCCATCCTTTTACCAACCAATGTCATGCATGTGTGTGCCTTCAACATTTGTCCGGTGATCAGCAGCTATAAAGGTGAAGTCTGGGGGCTAATGTATTGCAGTGAAGCAGAGTTTGAGTGCCTTCAAGAAGGATAATTTGCAAAGTGCAAATTCTGTAGCAAGTAAGCCAGTAGGGGAAGAGTCACCTCACTAGTGCTGGTATGACCTTACATCTGAAAAGACATCATAAGTATGTATTAGTGAGGGAAGAAGAAGAAAAAGTAAGTACGTGGGCATGTAGAATATCCACTGGTGTATCAGATTTTGTGCAGTTGTTACTACCTACCAACAGCAGTTCCTCCACTAATACTACAACCACCCTGAGAGCAGGTTAGGTTAGTGCTAGTAGTTGACAGATGCAATTTTGACAGGGACAGTTGGACCCCCCACCCCGCAGCTGCGACCACTGCAACTGCGGTAATTCCACTGCTGCGGAATGTATAGTGAAGAGCAGGACTAGGACACTCCAAGTTCCAACTCTGGCAGGTCTTCGGCTGCCAAAACTTTCTCACAGGTTAAGACACATGGAGTGCCCCCTTTTCACTATAAAAGCTGCTGGAAGGCTGCACAATGCCAGTAGACCAGGGAAGGTAATAAGCAGAGAGGGGAGAATAAAAGAAAATAAAATAATTATTTTTTTTTAATAAAAAAAGTGCTTTTTGCCCACAGAACACAGCCTTTATCCTATAAAGACCGAGAATCCACTGCCCACTAACACACCCTGCATCCACTATACAAACACACACCTAGCCCAAAATTTCTGATGGCAGCCCACTTATACCTACTGATTTAGAAATGTTTTATTGATTTGTGATTTATCTTTTTTCTTATTTATAGTAAAAACAGTATTTCATTTTCAGTGTTTTTCTGTGCCGATGCTTGTCCTTAGCAAATTGCAAGCTTCTTCCTTGAGTACAATGTGTGACAGTTTACTGAACAAGTGAACCCTGCTTGCAGTGTGGACTGAGTGTGGCAGGCAAAGCCGTCTTTAAATCGGGGCAACTGCCCGGACCCAGTTATCTCTGGTGGGCCCAAAGCAACTGCCACATGAGCCCGCTGCCCACAACAATTTGGCGTGACCCATCGGGTGGCCCATACATTTAGGGCCACTCATTGGAGGGTCCCCAATTGGCAGTGCTTGCTTTGTTAGGTGAGAAGATCCAGAGATCAAGATTCTATCAACAGCCACCGGTTTTGAGAGCTCTTCTTGCTGGCTCAGGATATTGCTTGGGGTTGGTGGAGAGATCCCCCTTGTCCATGCTTTTTTTTCGTAGCAGAGACTTACCCTCTGTGGGAATCAGCTGAGCTCTTCCCACTGTGCTGGTTGCAGATCCAGAATGCATGTTTATTGTGTTCCTTTTAATTTATTTGTGCATTGTAGGAAGGAAAGAGGAGGTGGTGGTACTACAGGCAGCATGGAGAGGAAAGGCAGGAGCAAGCAGCTGCAGCCCCTTACACTAACTCCTATCAGCCTCAGCCATCATCACCAGGACCCCAAGCAAGCCACCATTCTTGACACAAAAGGTAAGCTAATAGGAAGGTGGCTGCAAATATAAACATTATAAATGTATGTGTCTATGTATGTCACATTGTGGATGTGCCAGTCTGTGTATCTGGGTGTCAGTGTGTGTATCTATGTGTCAAGGTGTGTGTGTGTGTGTGTGTGTGTGTACGTATCTAGGTATGCATGTATGTATCCAAAAAATGATCCAAAATTACTTAAATGTATTGGTATTCAAAAATGTACTATTCCTTGGAGAGGGAGTAATATTAAAAATATCATAGGTAAAAGTGGATTGGGTATCTACAGACACTCACACGCCATGGCCTCAACGCAGAATTTAATATTTAATTTTATATAATGTCATCATGCCTTTTACTGTGTACCCTCCCTTCTACTTTTCTGTTTTATTTCTATTTTATTAAAATTTTTAGTATTTCCCACCATTTTAATATATACATTATTGCAACATTTTTTTGTATATTATGTATCCATATATTGTACTTATGTATATGCCTATCATCCCCTTTAATATATACTTAATAGCTACATGTCGCCCCTTCCCATTATGGCCGCCATTCACAACACAGCAGCCGGTCATCACAATATACGTGCTAACGCACGCCCTTCCCCATTACGGCCATCCATCCCATTAGCGAATCGACAGCTGCCATTCCCAATATGGCCGCCATCTAATTTATTACCCATGCTGCCATAGACTTTCCCAACGCCACTCCTAATATGGCCCCCGTCTAATATATTATCATGCTGTCACGTGACTTTACTTATTTTAGTTATACCAGCCTCTAAACCCTTCATTTTGAACTTGTTTTGTTACAAAAAGCATTTAATTATGTCAACTATGTATATGTTAATTTTTAATTGGCAAACCTAATTTTGTCGCCAATTTTAACAATTTTAGCCCTGTATTAACTCCAACTGCCAGGTTGTATTCTACTCTATCCACTTGAAGAAGCCCTAGGCGAAACGCGTTTGGATATTTTATATTGTGAATTAAAGGTTTTTTTGGTCACTACCCTGTGTCAATTATCTCTTTTCTTTTATACTGATTTTACATCCTGGCATTTTACTTTTCCTGTACTCCAAGCAATCCTAGGTGGGGATCATACCACTAATGCTGATACCATAGAGCAGTTAGCCTGCTCTATCCTTGTAATTATCTATTAATATTTTTATATTGAGAGCACTATTAGTTGTCTTTCTATCCCTTTCCTGAGTTTTGGATATCGCTCCTGAGGTGGACACTTGCTGCATATCCTATAAGTGGGGATTATACTTATATGCCTGTACCGCTGTACGCCTATTACGCTAGAGTTGGCTATAGCTCGCATAAAATTTAAGTGTTCTACCATTATTTCTACTTATAATATATCTCTAATAACATTTATTGCACTATCCGCTGTCCTCCATTTTTTGTCTTTTATATATGCATATGGATGGCTCTGATTAATTGACTCATCATTTCAACTGAGGATATTTCATTTTTCTATCAAGTACTTTATATTAACTCTCATCTATGACTTACAGTCACCTATACATGAGGATCTCTTACTAGGACTATCTCTACTATTGATATTATCTGTGTGTGTATATGTATGTATGTGTATGTATATGTATATGTGTGTGTATATATATATATATATTTCCTGGCCATATCCATGGCAGCACAACAATGGGTAGCTCCTCCCCTATCCCTAGTTAGACAGGAACTAATTAAAATAAGGGTACAAATACCCCCTCCTACCTCCTCCTCCCTCAGTCTTTTTGTTCCTGTCCTATCCCTATAGGACCAAATTAGTCTATTTTCAGGACTATAATCACTTTTTCTTTTATGGCTTACCTGAGGGTTTTTACCTTCTGCCCCCAAGGAAGTTCAGCCTCTCTTTCTTGGGAAGCTTCAGTATCCGGCCCTGTGCAAAGGTGTCCCCCTGAAGTTACCCCCTTAGTGACCGGGGGTTCTACTTGCAGTGACCCTAGGGGTAGCAAGAGAAAAAAATGCCAAACAATTCTGATTCCCTGCAGTGACCAAGAGGTAGCAGGAAGTGGCGAGAAGACCTTATTCTGGATGGATTTTTACATATTGAAGTACACCCCACATGTATGTATGTACAAATACTTTTTGCATATATTCTGTATTTGTTTAAAAACATATGTGTGGGTTTTTCCCCCCCCTACCTATGATTTCTTTGTACCTTGCTTCTATCTTTACACATGCCTTCTCGGCGTCCTGTTCCTCCTGGGGCGCATGTGCGCCGTTTTCGCGCATGCTCGCTTGTTCACGGGCACTCTAGCTTCGCGTGCACGCTAGTTTCGCGTACATGCTATGTCCACGCGCACGCCAAAGTCGGCGCCTGGGTTCCGGCTGCCGTGAGGGTGCCTCCTACTCGGAGGTTGCTTCCGGGTTTGTGCCGCGCATGCGCAGTTAGCGAGCGGTGAATTCGATCTTTCTGCGCATGCGCGGATAAGCGGTGACGTCAGATATGACGTCACACGCCTATTTAAGCGCCAAAAGTGTATAAATAGTTTACCTGAGGTTCTCATTAGGTCTTTAGAGGACCTGTTTCATACAATTTTCTACTTTGAATAGCATTTTTTATTGCAAGAAATATTTAAAGGTAAGTTTTACTTCTTAAAGGTGTATACACATTTTTTCATTTTTTTTCATTTCTTCTTCTTCCTTTCTTTCTATAATAATAAAATTACTTTTCTAGACTGTTCGTAATCATCTCCACAATGGAGAAAGACAAAAGGAGATCAATTTCTTCTGATTCGGACTCTTCTGGATATAAAAATAGGTCACACTCTAGGAGTTATAGGTAAGCCATATCATATCATTATTTTCTCTTCTGGTATAGGATAAATAAAGTAAAAGAGTGCTAATATGAGATATTTCCCTGTCATGATAGTTCTACGGGAAAGAAAACAGTGAGATCATCCAAAGAAAAATCTCCAAAGAAAAATCAATGCGAAGCCTGTAATAATAAACCGCTGGAGGGCAAACGGTTATGTACAGAGTGTTTATCTGAAGCGGCTGGAACATCTAATCCTTCAATGGAATTTGTACAGTTCATAAAACAAGCGGTGGCTCAAGGTATCAAAGAAGCAGGGGCAAGTCACAAAAGACCCCGGTTACATGAACCTTCGGATTACCAACATAATGATTCGTCAGATGAATCCATGGATATGGAATCATACCAGGGGAATTTCTTATCTTCAGACGAAGAAGAAACTCAGGCCCCTGCAGATTTTCTAGAACCTGCTCAGATAGACCACCTCATTTACAAAGTCCGTAAATCTTTGAGCTTGAAGGAGGCAGTTGCAGAACAGTCAACCTCTTATCGTTATTTCTCAGACTTGAGAAAGAAAAGAGCAACCTTTCCAGTGCATGATACTATTAAGGAATTAATTAAAGACGAGTGGTCTAATACAGATAAGAAGCTTTCAGCACAAGGCAGAATATCTCGCCTCTATCCTTTTGACAAGTCTGATTCATACCATTGGGATAATGCCCCTAAGGTGGATGCGGCAGTAGTTCGACTCACAAAACATACCACATTACCAGTAGATGATGCAGGCTCATTTAGACACCCAATGGACAAAAAGATGGATCTGCATCTCTCAAAGGCTTATGTAGCAGCAGGGACTGGTTTTCACCCTGCAATAGCCCTTACTTCAGTGTCCAGGGCCTTAAAAATCTGGATCGAAAACTTGGAAGAAGATATCAGAGATGGGAGAAACAGATCTTCTCTTCTGGAAAGATTAAATGATATTAAACTGGCCGTTGACTTTACCTCAGAATCCTCAGTGGACATGGTGAAAGCTTTAGCAAGAAACATGGCTCTTTCTATTTCAGCTAGAAGAGCTTTATGGCTGAGATCCTGGTCCGCAGATTCATCATCAAAGTCTAGTCTATGCGCCCTTCCTTTTCATGGTGAGATGTTGTTTGGTAAAAATCTAGACGAGTGCATCAAAAGAGCTGCAGAAGGTAAAAAAGCCTTTCTCCCACAAGACCGGAAAACCTGTGGATCCTTTCGAGCCAGAAGATACTCTGAATACCCCTCTTTTCGCGATACCAGATCTTATAAACCACGAAGAGAATATGGAAGATCTATTACATGGAGAGGAGGACATTCATCCAACAGAGGAGGAAAGTCTAGAGGTTCCTCATTTCACAAGAAGCCTTTATGACAAACCCACCTCCCATTCTGGAGGAGTAGGTGCCCGTCTACTACTATTCCAGAATATGTGGAAACATTCAACTCAAGACAGATGGGTGCTGGATATCATACAAGGAGGTTATCTTATAGAATTCTCCACAAGGCCGCCACCTCGCTCCTTCCAGAAGACAATCTGGCCAAGAGATGTAGAAAAAAGAGATTCCCTAAAAAAATTTATCTCATCCCTTCAAGAAGATGGAGTTATCGTTCAAGTTCCAAGAGCTCAACGAACACATGGGTTTTACTCCCATATCTTTCTCACCAGAAAATCCACAGGGGGATGGAGACCAATATTAGACCTAAGCAGACTAAACAAGTTCCTAAACATAAGGAAATTCAAGATGGAGTCTCTTCAATCCATTGTAAAAGCCGTTTTTCCAGATCAATGGCTCATGTCAATAGACCTGGCAGATGCGTATTTCCATATTCCCATAGCACCCCAGCATCAAAAATTCCTCAGATTCGCTGTGGAAGAGGGTCATTTTCAGTTCCGTGCTCTCCCTTTTGGGCTAAGCACTGCTCCGCGTACTTTCTCAAAAGTTCTGGTGGTTCTAATCGCAGAACTCAGGAAGAAAGGCATTGCAGTATATCATTACCTCGACGACCTCTTGATTCTGGCAGAAAACAGAGATATATTAGAAGATCACGGCCTGATATGTATACAGTATCTTCAACAACACGGATGGAAGATCAATTTCACCAAAGGCAACCTAAAGCCATCCCAGAGCATGATATATCTAGGAGCAGCATTCAACACTGCAGAAGGTTCCGTCCAACTGTCCCCAGAAAGGGGTATGAAAATTCGGAAAAAGGTCAAAGACATGTTAGCATCCAGTGTTTCCTCAGCGGAGACAACTATGAGCCTCCTGGGATCAATGTCCTCCACCATAGGACTTACAAGATGGGCCCAATGGAGAATGAGGCCTTTCCAAAGGAATTTCCTTTCTCAATTCAAGGGCAATCTGTCTCAACCTATAATGATCCCTCCTCACGTACAAAAATCCCTGAAGTGGTGGACCCAGAAAGAGTCTCTCTTCAGAGGTTATCCCTTAGGAAATATTCCATGGATCATCATCACCACAGATGCCAGTCAATGGGGCTGGGGAGCCCACCTTCAAGACAACTATGTTCAGGGGAAAGGGGCATTTTCAACCTCCAACACCCCTTCGAATCTTCTAGAACTTCTGGCAGTTTTCAAGGCTCTAATGCACTTCCAGCAACTTTTACTCCACAAATGGGTCAAGATCAGGACAGACAATACCACGGTTGTGGCATATATAAATCACCAAGGAGGGACGAGAAGTTGCAGAATGATGAAAATTACGAAACCTTTGATGTCCTGGGCCCAATTGAATTTGGAGAATATCTCTGCAATGCATCTCCCAGGAACTCAGAACTCTGTGGCAGACTTTCTCAGCAGGGTGAGATTAGACCCGGGAGAATGGAGTCTATCAGACATAATATTTCTACAGATCGTAGAAAAATGGGGCCTTCCCCAGATAGATCTAATGGCTACAAGCAACAACAGAAAAGTCAAGAACTTCTTTTCGAGAATTCCAGATCCCCAAGCCATAGGAAGGGACGCATTGACATGCAGTTGGAACTTCGACCTGGCTTATGCCTTTCCTCCGAAACCCCTCATCTTCCCTCTGCTAAGGAGACTACGACAAGAGAAGGCATCACTGATTCTAATAGCCCCTTTTTGGCCTCGCAGACCTTGGTTCCTGCTCCTACTAAGTCTGTGCAAGAAGGATCCATGGCATCTTCCAGTTGTCCCATTCCTGCTACATCAGGGTCCAATTCATCATCCAAACCCAGCATCCCTTCGTCTGTTGGCATGGTACTTGAAAAAGAAGGGTTAAAGAACAAGGGGTTTTCGAGATCAGTAATCGAGACACGAGCAAGGAAGAAGTCCACTTCATCCACTTACTACAGAATTTGGGATGTATTTTCTTCATGGGCCAGTTCAAGACCCTTTGATATTTTGAACCCTTCAACTACTGATATTCTTGATTTTTTACAATCAGGTCTAGAGAAGGGATTGAGTTATAACACTTTGAAAGTACATATTTCAGCCCTCTCTGCTTTAACTAATCATAAATGGGCACTGGATCCAGACATAGCTAGATTTCTGACTGCAGTCCTCAAGATCAAGCCACCCATTAAGTCTATTACTCCGCCATGGGATCTCCCTCTGGTCCTGAAGGCTCTTAAAGCAGATCCTTTTGAACCTATGGCATCAATTCCCTGTCATCTTCTCACGATCAAGACAGTTCTACTAGTAGCCCTAGCCTCTGGTAGAAGGGTTTCTGATCTTCAGGCTCTTTCGGCTCGAGAACCTTTTACTATATTTCATAAGGACAGAGTCATCCTGAGAACGGTTCCAGAATTCCGCCCTAAGGTAACTTCAGAGTTCCATATGAATGAAGAAATAATCCTTCCAGCATTAAGTACAGAAGAATCTAATAACGGGGAAAACGCTGATGATGATGCTATCGACCTAGTAAGATGTCTTAAGATATATATATATATATCAGCAGATGGATAGTTTCGGCCATTATCCAATCTTATAGATCATCTAATACAAGTGTTCCTGAAGGTTTGAAAGCTCATTCTACACGTTCCCTGTCTTCATCCTGGGCAGCTGCAGCAAAGGTTTCTACAGAACTGATTTGCAAAGCAGCCACTTGGTCATCTTCTAATACATTTATTAGACATTATCGTTTAGATGTAAGAGCTGGCCAATACGATGGATTTGGCAGATCAGTTCTTTCTGCCTCAAAGGATTAACTACTATTCTTTTTGTTCATCACATTGAGTTGTTTGTGATAATACACTTGCATTATATAATGATGTGTCTGAGTTTTTCTTTCCCTCCCTTGGTTTTAGCTTGGGTATTACCCATTGTTGTGCTGCCATGGATATGGCCAGGAAAGAGATACATTTACTCATACTTACCGTAATTTTCTTTTCCTGGTCATAGGCCATGGCAACACAAAGGTCCAACCCAGGGATATTGCTGTTAACTAGACTGAGGGAGGAGGAGGTAGGAGGGGGTATTTGTACCCTTATTTTAATTAGTTCCTGTCTAACTAGGGATAGGGGAGGAGCTACCCATTGTTGTGCTGACATGGCCTATGACCAGGAAAAGAAAATTAAGTAAGTATGAGTAAATCTATCTCTATATATATATGTATATGTGTGTGTGTATGTGTGTGTGTGTATATATATATATATATATATATATATATATATATATATATATATATATATATATATATTATCTTTGGCACAACCTTTCCTTGTCTTGTTTGATATTAGTTTTAAGGGTCTTGAGGGATGCCCTTTTTTTTTTAGGTTGCTGCCTTCCGGTATTTTGTGTATTTGCACTGAGAGTGGAAAAAAAATGAAATCCCACCCAGGAGGCCCCCGAGGTAAGCTAATTGCGAGTCCCACAATGACACATAAAAAATGGAAAACCACAGGACTAAAAATAAATAAATAAGAGAAAACATAAAGTTTCTTTCCACATAGCATATAGTGGGTGATGACAATGTACCATGCCAGAGACGACAACTGCCAAAATCAAAATCAGCCGATGCCTCTCTTGGGCAACACAGGTTCCAGAAATGGGTGTCCTGAAGTTGGACCTAATAGTCCATCTGAGTGCACACATGTGGCAATGTCATAGGAAAAGGGCAGGCCTGGGGAAGTCCACTGAGGTTTCGAGACTACATTTAGTGGGATCTTTGAGCCTAGTCGCAGCCGGCAGCTAGATTAAGGGTGCTTCTCTCTTGTCTTGTGGGAAACATCTCCCTCTGCAAAAACTTTTTTTTAGATTCTCTTTGCTACGATTTCACCGCATCTGCGGTAAACACGCACTAGATTCGTGTGCAATAGCCTGTTGCTCTCGGAGCACCAAATTTCTCCAGAAGGCATCAAATATGTGGTCTAGCTTGGTCGCAAGGTCAAGCTTCTCAGCATAGCACTTTTGAGGGCACACGGCATCAACCATGACACACGTCTCCATGTCCACAGGCTGCCTGCTTGGCTCCCCTTCCAGCGTACAATCTGATACAGCCAGGTTACCTTTCAGGAGTGGATCGAGATCAACCCTACCGGTCCAGGGGTTGGGAGGTAGGAGATCAGTGGATGCCGCACCGCTGAAGCAAGAACGAGGAGAGTGTCCTCCTATCCCCGACTTCATCACCCACAGACCGCAGTGAGTCACCTCGGGATCCCAATTGCAGAAAACAAGGTTACCAAGGCACTCCTAACTCAGATAGAGCACATTGGTATGTATACAAGCTCAGTATTTGAGTATTTCTGTGTAATCGGCAAATACAGCGGGAGCCCCGTTAACATGCATTTAGTAAGGTTGCTGGTCAGACTCCTCTCCTCCTATAATACTAACTTAACATAAATTACTATACAGAATAATATATGAATGTGCCAGCAATGTTCTTTAACACACACACTAGCCTATAAGTTGTCAGATCCACGTTACGTGCAGAGTATCTTTTAATCATTTAAAAGCAGTCGTGTACTTGTATGTCGTTTGCCATTGAATGCAGGGGTGCAGGGCCGGACTGGGGATTCCAAAGCAGCCCTGGAAAAAAAATCTATGCCAGCCCCATAAGTCATTGCACCATATATTGTCGCATGTAATATGTAGGGCTATGTCTTGCCACCCTAGATGATTGAGATATATATATATATCTCTTTTTCCAATATAAAATATTGGTTCTTTCAGAGTAAAATCTTTAATTATACAGTAAGCATACTGACATGCAGACACAGACAATCTCACTGACACAAGCTGATTGATACACAGCCTCATAAACAAACAATCTCACTGATATACATAAGGTCATTGTTAAGACACCTCCAGTGTCTGTAGGCAAAACCGCCGTTTAGTAGACCTTCCCCGGCTGCAGTACAGTCTCCGTTCGCTTAATCTGTAATACACGAACCAAATGCAGGGGAAGCGTCAATCTCCCGAACGAGATACGTGAACGGCTCCAAACTCCCGAACGGCAATACACGAACTGCTGGCAACCGTCGAACAGCAATATTCACCAAGCGGCTTCCGTTCCATCCAGCAGTCTCTAAACGTGAAGAAGCAATCCCCCCAATAACGAGACAGAAGCTCCGCATTGAGGGTCAAACAGGATCTGGCTTTACTGTGGGCTACCTGCCCGTATTTATGCAGGTCTCCCACCTGGTGGACACTCCCCTAGGGGACCAAATGGGAGACTTAAATGACAGACAGATATGGGGACATTCCAGACACACAGTCACAGATTTTACCCACAGTGCATTATGATTCCCTCCCCTCTGCCCTGGAGTTAATTACCAAGTAACTCAATTAACTCCAGGACAAAGCCAGTCGCCATCTTAGACATAAAATAATAAAAGACATAAAAATATATAACTACACAAAAACCGAACATTTCCCATTCGTATCACCTATCCCCAGATAGCCTGGATCTGAGTGCATATTATTAGCGAATAGCAATCAGATCCCACACACATAGTTCAATCGCCATGGAGTCAAAGTTCTTACAGTCTTTCGGTATACGAATGACTCCATGGGAAGGCTATCTGGGTTAAGTCTTTTCATATGCTCTAAATCTCCCGAACGGCCGGTGTTCGCATGCTTTCGTGGAGGCAGCTAGGCGTTCCGTTGTTTCAGCGGTGTTCGGCAGAAAAAGTGTCAGTTTTTAGTTCCATAGAAATAGAGCCAAACACCGCTGGGCGTTCGCTTGATTTAAAATGGCCGCTGCCTCGTGGTCGACATACGAACGGCGACCACCCTGAATTCGGTTTAATTGAGAAGTGTCTGCGGTTAACCACAACGTTCTAATTGGGATCACTTCGTTAACCAGCAGCACACTCCTCACTTGGGTGGCCGTTCGTTCGGCAGGTTTGTTCGGGAAAAAAAGAGTCATTCGAATGGCTGGGCTATAGAAACCAGCCATTCATACGAACGGGAGACAAACAGACGAATGCAGTAAAAATCCAAGCAGACAGATGGTTCTGTCACAGTCATTAAAATAAAAACACAAGCTCACTCAGTAGCAGGCACACACACACAAGCAAGCCCACTCACTAGCAGGCGCGCACACACACACACAGCTTAATGGCTCTGGTGTCTACAGCCTGTCCCTGCAGGCTTTTCAATGTAAACACTGACTTTTTAGAGAAAAGGCAGTGTTTACATTGCTTCCTAGTGACAGACACTCAGACGGTCACTAGAGGTGCTTCCTGTGTCAGTGCGGATTGGCTGAGATCATCAAGCTTGATGATCTCAGACGTAGAGGCAGGGCCAGTTGAGGGGAGACCAGCACGACATGAAAAAAAAAGGTGAGTACCGTGTTTCTCCGAAAATAAGACCGGGTCTTATATTAATTTTAGTCACAAAAAACACACTAGGGCTTATTTTCAGGGTAGGGCTTATTTATTTACGGTACCGGTATGTACATTGAACCCCCCCTTTAATTAATCCACCCCCCTTTTAATAAATCCACCCCCCTCTAATTAATCCACCCCCTCTAATTAATCCAGCCCACCCTTTAATTAATTCACCCCCTCTAATTAATCCAGTCCACCCTTTTAATTAAAGGGGGGTGAATTAATTAAAGGGTGGGCTGGATTAATTAGAGGGGGTGAATTAATTAAAGGGGTGGTGAATTAATTAAAGAGTGGACTGGATTAATTAGAGGGGGGTGAATTAATTAAAGGGGTGGTGAATTAATTAAAGGGTGGGCTGGATTAATTAGAGGGGGGTGAATTAATTAAAGGGGGGTGAATTAATTATTCACCCCCCTCTAATTAATCCAGCCCACCCTTTAATTAATTCACCACCCCTTTAATTAATTCACCCCCCTATAATTAATTCAGTCCACCCTTTAATTAATTCACCACCCCTTTAATTAATTCACCCCCTCTAATTAATCCAGCCCACCCTTTAATTAATTCACCACCCCTTTAATTAATTCACCCCCTCTAATTAATCCAGCCCACCCTTTAATTAATTCACCACCCCTTTAATTAATTCACCCCCTCTAATTAATCCAGCCCACCCTTTAATTAATTCACCCCCCTTTAATTAATTCACCCCCCTCTAATTAATCCAGTCCACCCTTTAATTAATTCACCCCTCTTTAATTAATTCACCCCTCTTTAATTAATTCACCCCCCTCTAATTAATCCAGCCCACCCTTTAATTAATTCACCCCCCTCTAATTAATCCAGCCCACCCTTTAATTAATTCACCCCACCCCCTTTAATTAATTCAATTAATCCCAGACATAAAATATCTAGCGGTACTCACATTTCAAAGATTCCTTGCCGAGTCCGACCACTGGGAGCCTCACCGCCCGGAAATGGATCCTTCCGCTGAAGATCCGTGAAGGCAGACTGATGGCGCTGCAAAATGTCGTCATCACGTTGCACGACGCTCCTCCTACAGCAGAAGAAGGAAGTCTCGCCGCAAAGGTACAATGCCTAGGTCTTATTTTCGGGGTAGGGCTTATATTGCAGCCCACCCCGAAAATCCGACTAGGGCTTATTTTCGGGGTAGGGTTTATTTTCGGGGAAACACGGTAAATACACACACACATACCATGACAGACACACACCGTGACACAGACAGAAACACAGACACACCATGACAGACAGACACACCATGACACAGACACACACACACCATGACAGAGACACACACATACCATGACACACACAACTTGACACACACACCATAACACAGACCGTGACACAGACACACACGACACAGACAGAGACACCATGACACACAGACACACACCACGACACAGAGAGATCGTGACACAGACACACACACACCGTGACACAGACACACATTACATGACAGAGACAGACACAGACCATGACAAACACACACACCATGACACAGACAGACCGTGACACAGACAGACGCACACACCATGACAGTCAGAGACACACACACCATGACACAGACAGACACACACACACCATGACAGATGCACACACCATGACAGAGACACACAGACACACACCATGACACAGACGCACACACCATGACAGACAGAGACACACACAATGACACAGACAGACACACACACACCATGATAAAGACACACACACACTCACACTGACACACACAATGTCTACCTGGGACTGTGGGGAGCTCCCTTGGCGGCTGCAGGGGGAGTGGCTGTTCTGCCTCTGCAGGGGTGTGAATATATTATATTATATTATATCTTTGAATTCTATGGTTTTGCATATCAGGACATAATAACAATCATCTGTTCCTTAGTAGGTCTTAAAATTGGGTACACACAACCTCAGATGAACAACACATGACATGTAATAATGGGTCATGATTTATTTAACAAAAATAAAGCCAAAATTGGGAAGTCATTTGTCAAAAACTAAGCAGACCCTTACTGCTTCCATAGGAATTAAGAGGCTAAGTAGCAGATAGATGTCCTTGATTAATTGATCATCAGCAAATGTTAGCACCTCTATAAAAGTTTTAGCAGTTTCCTAGTCTGGAGCATTCAAAAGTGTGTTAACACAATGTCAAGGAGGAAACACATCAGCTATGACCTTAGAGAAGCAATTGTTGCTGCCCATCAAACTGGGAATGGTTATAAAGTAATTTCCAAACATTTTAAAATCCATCATTCTACAGTGAGATTTATTGAAGAGTAGAAAACAGTCAAAAAGGGTGTACCTTTTTTTTTAAAATCATGACTGTGTGTGTGTGTGTGTGTGTGTGTGTGTGTGTAATATATATATATATAAACAGGGCCCGCCAAGGTAGATTTGGGAGTGGTGCGTGGGATGACCAATCAACGTCGGTCCAGTATGGAGGTTCCTGTTTCTATATAGGCCGGATCATCCCCTCCCACAACTCCATGCTCCGCCTTCTCATTTGTGGTCAGGGAAAGAGGCAGAGTAAGCGTTGACCCTAAAATATACTAAATTTGGTTGTGGTGTGCCGAACCCGATGTTCGGGCAGGCCCGTAAAGAGGGCAAAAAAGTGTAAGCAAAGCAACTTTAATACGTATTTACTTGTTTAACAAGACCCTTGCAGATATGTGGTTTCATATTATTTGGTTAAGTCTTTGAATGCCTTCTTTGACTGACTTTTCCAGTACTTGGCCCAGGTCCTCCATTTCCCTATGGTGGGCACCTATTAAAATAATTAGCAGGGGGAGACATAGTGTCCCCCCATGCCCTCAACTGTGTCCTGCGTGTAGGGGCAATTAAACTAAACAGGGGACCTAGTGTCCCCCACAACCTCCACCTCATTGGTGGTGGATGGAGGCCCTAATTAAGAATGGGGGAGACCTATAGGCCCCACCTATCCCCATCCATTGGTGGGGGTTGGGTACCCTAAATAATAATGGGAGAACCTAGAGGCCCCCTCAGCCCCAACCCATTGGTGGTGGGTGGGCCTTAAATTATAATGGGGTGACCTAATGTTCCCCCCACCCATTGGTGGTGTATGGCGGCCCTAAATTATAATGGGGTGACCTAATGTTCCCCCCACCCATTGGTAGCGGGCGAAGGCCCTAAATGATAATGGGGTGACCTATTGTCCCTCTCAACCCCCACCCACTGGTGGAAGTTTGGCCATCTTCCCCTCCAGTGACTAAGGGTCCCCTAGCTGCAAGTCACCCTCCCTCCCCCCCCCCCCCCAAATACAGAAATATCCAATCTATCCCCTCACCCTAAAAATAGTAGGAGGGGCGGGGGGGGGGCAAAAAAAATGAAATACCTGAGAAACAAATGTATACTTACCATTAGATGTCTTCTTTTTTTTTATTTCCCTCTTCTTTTTTCAGCCGCAGAAAAGGCCAAATAAAAATCCATAAAGTCGAGTCAAAATATTAAAAAATTTTTTTAAAAGGACCTGATTGCAAGAAAAAATAAAATATTGTGAAAAAATATTTAGGCAGAAATATTAATTACATCTTCACCCGGCAAGGGAATGCCTTATACACTCAGAGCGCTCTGATTGGTTGGCTTAATAAAGTGTAGAGGAGTCGGGAGAGATGCTAAAAGAAATAGATACGGTCATGACAGTGCCACTTTAACTGCCTGCTAGAGCCTGGAGGAGCCTCCTTTGTGTAAATAAAGTTAAATTTACAGAGCATTAGATAAGAACTACAAAAGTGAGCACACTGTGCTGTAAGAATTGATTGAAAATAAAATTATTCTTTTCATGTTGGCTGTGTGCAGGGCCGGATTAACATAGGGGCTGATGGAGCTGCAGCTCCAGGCCCAGGCCCATGGAATAGGCCCATTGATTTATAAAAAAAAAAAAAAAATTTTTTTTTTTACATTTTTTTCCCCCACACACTACTCTTAGGGATTCCACCTGGCTTTTATTTTATTGGCACAGCCAGTATTTGAGGCTGCCTGGCTGGTGCCAATATTGCAGGGATACTGGCAATACAAATGCTGGTATTTTTCTCAGTATAAACAAGAGATTACTCTGCAATACCAGCACTGGCCAGTAGGGGTCGCTGTGTGTGGAGACAGGCAGGGATAGGAAGTTCCAGCATATCCCTCCCTGCCTATCTATACTCACTGATCTGCAGGGGTGCAGACAGCAACTCCCACCCTGCAGAGACAGACTACAGCTCAGGGAAGTAAGGGATGGGGGGAAAAGCTGCAAGGAGACATATACTGAGATACTAAGGGACACTGGGAGACATTATGGCACAGACACATGGGGACACAGTGTCCCCATGTCTCCCAGCCAGTGTCCCTGGTGTCTCAGTGCCCCCTAGTCTCCCAGTGCCCCCAGTATGCCAGTGTCTCACTGTCCCCATGTATCCTAGTGCCTCCATGTCTCTCAGTGCCTCGAGTGTCACAATGTCTCCATGTCCCCATGTCTCCAAGCTAGTGTCCCTGGTGTCTCCTTGTCCCCGTGTCTCCCAGTGTCCCCATGTCTCAATGTCCCCATGTCCCCCAGCCAGTGTCTCTAGTGTCTGTGTCCCCATGTCTTCAAGTGTCCCCTATTTTCCCAGTGTCCCCATGCATCCCAGCCAGAGTCCCCTAGTCTCCCAGTGTCACTGGTGTCTCCGTGTCCCTAGGTCTCCCCGTGTCCCCAGGTCTTCCCATCTTCCTAGTGACATGGGGACCCTGGGATACATGGGGACACAGGGATACATGGGGCATTGAGACACTGTGATACATAGGATCACTGGGAGACCTGGGGACACGACACTAGGGGACACTGGGAAACATGGGGTACTGAGACAATGATACATAGGAACACTAAGACCTGGAGAATCGACACATGGGAGCACTGGGAGACATGGGGCCACTGGGAGGAATCCATCTATACAGCAGAATCAAACTAAGTCGTTTTTTTGGTGATTTTACAGCATTTTCTCTTATGTCACTCCTTGTGATTTACATCATGTAATGTCACCATACATATTTAATTATGCAAATTAGCAAGGCCGGTATGTTTTTCCAAGAAAGGTGGCAACCCTTACTACTTTTCACATACTCTTACTTAAGTATGGAAACTTAAGAGGGATGTATGGGAACAAAACTTGTGTGGACTGGCTGACAATGGATATAGTTAAAGGGACACTAGAGTCACCAGAACTACAGCTTATTGAATTTGTTCTGGTGAGTAGAATCATTACCGTCAGGCTTTTTGCTGTAAACACTGTCTTTTCAGAGAAAATGCAGTCTTTACGTTACAGCCTAGTGATAACTTCACTGGCCACTCCTTAGATGGCTGTTAGAGATCCTTCCTAGGTCATGGTGATACCGGAGAAACTGACGGAAGCAAAGCACAGAGAGATGGACACAGGTTTCTTCAGGAAGGAAGAGATTCTTTATTGGATCACCGATCGGGACTCAGAGGGACTAATGTCACCAAAAATACAGCAAGTTCTGAGCCCTGAACAATAGTGCAGGCTCCCTATATAGGCACATAACTCCTCCCATATTAAGCTCCACCCGCACATTCTCTTGACCAATCATTACAAATAAGAATTAACTTCCTGCTTGACCGCATGGCTTGTCCAGCACAATGGAGGAGGGGAATACTACATCCTGTATTCTTGCACATGCTCCGTACACTACTGATCGTATCTTGCCTCGTGCAACCAACTGATCGATACGTCAGCATATGCACGTACACATGCCACGTGGTAATCTCGGCCTACTAAATTTATTTTTACCGAGATTCCACCACATTCCCCCCTTTGATGCCTCTTGATATTTTACAATTACTTGAGGCATCACTTAACCTTGGTTTGCATACACCACAAGTTACCTTTGAACCAGACCAGACTTATCCTATGATGTGAATCTTCAACACTCGTCTTCCTGCATTGGTTCTCCCTGATCTAGAGCCTTATATTTATAAATTGCCATTATCTGTGCAGCAGCCTTCCTCTCTGCTATATTTTCTATCAGGCTTTGCACAGACCTAACTACTAAGGGTATAAGACACGGCAGGAGTAGACACAACATTAAAATCAGTAGGACTCCACCTACCACTGCCTTAAGCCCTCCAAACCACTCATACCAGCTACCAAACCAACTACTTGGATTGTACCCTTTCCATACCTGAGTAGGCACATGCGCTAGTTTAACCATATGGCTAGTAAGCTCAGCTATTGCTTGCCCTTCGTCATCTATTTGAAGACAGCAATTGCTCAGGTTAAACTTCCCACATACACCTCCCTCTACTGCCAAAAGATAATCCAAGGCTAATCTATTTTGGTAAACTGCTGTCCTCATCCTGGTATTATGCTTCGCTAGAAGATTGAGCGCTTGTGATGTCTCGTTAGTAATGATCTCAACCACCGCCTGTAACCTTATAATGCGGTTGAGCATATAAATAGGGGTTCTATAACCAAAGGTACCATCCTCTGCCCACGTGGCTGGCCCATAATAATCTATAATACGCTGGGGAGGCCATTCATTATCTTCCCAGGCACCTATCTCTATGGGTCCCCTTTTCTTCCTATGATTCACATCATACACTTTAACACCTAAAGTCTCACCTGTTTCAATAGGCAACAAGAAGAAGGATGGTTTTAACATACCCAACACACATGCCCCTTCCCAGTCCTGTGGTAACTCCGAATAGGCCTTCTTACCACAGATCCAGTACAAATTCGCTGGGGCTCTCCAGTTAGATGTGATGGATAGATCAAACCATACGTCCTTTAAATTGGCATATCTTGCAAACGGGTTAGATGGTTCTGAGACATTTGAAGCCGACCACCAAGTTGTATTCTTTGTATCATCATCATAAGCTTTTTGCCCTAGACAAGTTAATTCTCCTACAGAAGTATTATACATCATTCCTTTCCTCGCTATGCAAACATAACCTATGATGGAGGTCTTCAATCTCCACTCAGATTTACCTCTAACACTCATATGATAGTCGGCTTGTGTAGATATTAATTGGTCAACTGCCTCAGAACCGGACATTACCTCCTTTGCTTCCCAAGGCCATTGGTCTCCCATGTTAGTACCTCCACACACATAGCAGTTGGTAACATTAAGACTACCGGCAATACTCTCGGCTAAATCAATGAACAAGTTTTTAGCATTATGGGGGATCTTATTATCTATGCTCATCTCTTCATAAAAGGAATGGTATACTTGATGAGTTTGGGAGGTTACCGTATCAGTCTCTATCCCTATAAACAATATTGTCCCAGGGTCTAAACCCGTCCCATATATTTGAAACCCAAATAAATTACCATATTTATCTAAGAACTTGTCAGGGTTATTTATAAGTATATGGATTGGATTGCATTCCATAGACTTACAATATGGATCAGTAGGCAACTTAGTCACAATCATGTCCTTGTCTGCTGTCTGTCCCCAAGTCGCCCACCCCACACAAGACCAATATGGGCAGAAGTTATAATCTCTATTTGGGCATCTTGGACTTACATATTTATTTTTACTACTGGGACAAATATATTTATCGTTAGACCCATACGTCCTCTCCCATCTAAGATCCCCACATACATTCCACGGCTTTCTACCACTTGATATTGCTTTACACGCATCAAATAGCAGAGCACCTGAAGAATATACGGATTTTAATACCGTCTTATTAATTAGGGTCCCCTGAGAATCTCCATTTCTGAGAGTCAACCAAATTGTACGGGGTTGATACTCAGGACTGAAGCACTTAGGTTCTCCTACTCCTAAATGACACACACTATATTCTATATTTAAGTATCTACATCTTGATACATCTCCTTTACACTCATATTGCGAATGCCAAATTAGGGTCTGGGATATATGGTTACCTGTTCTTGTAGTCTTAATGCATACCTCACAGCTAGGAGTGTTGGTACCTCTACCTTCCTGAATATAAAAATACACATAAATAAACATTATTAAAAATACATCTTTCGTCGTCATCCTCAGTCTTCGTCCGTGTGAAGGCACCTCAGCTTCCAGGATGTAAGGACTGCAGGGAATGGAGTTCTGCTCGTCTTCACAGGGGTCCCCTCAAGACTTTCCCTGACTTATACACTCGTTGGTGAGTGGACAGGCTTTATTATGGCCTTCTCACTCACTTACCAAGTCTCTGAAACAATAAAATTTGTAATCTACAAGGTTCCTCGTCACTCCGACTGAGTCGTGCGTTTTAACCGGATCTTGCAGGGATTCTCTGGATTTGCTGTAACTTGCCAGGAATCGGCTGCTGCTGGTTTAACCCTGGAGTGATGTATCCACGGAGCCACTTCGGCTACTTTTATCGCTGTAGGGGTAGACAGAAGAACAACATAAGGACCTCTCCACTTGGGCCCTAACGGCACATTATTCCACTCTTTAATCCACACTTGGTCGCCTGGGTGGTAACTATGAATTGGGGGATAAATATTCACAGGTAATCTATCTTGTACCCATTTCTGTACCTCCTCCATAGTCTTACCCAACTCTACAACCTGCTGCCGGGTAATTCCTTCTCCCAACTGACTCAAATCCCCCCTTAAGTTACCAAGCACGGGAGGTGGTCGCCCGTACATGATTTCAAAAGGAGAGAGGCCCATCCTTCTGGTAGGTGTACTACGGATTCGCAATAGAGCTATGGGCAAGAGAACGTTCCACTTAAGTTGGGTTTCCTGACACATTTTAGCCAACTGATTCTTAATAGTTCTATTCATTCTCTCTACCTTACCAGAACTCTGGGGTCTATATGCCGTATGAAGCCTCCACTTTATACCAAGCATATGAGTCAATTGTTGTAGGCACTGATGAACAAAAGCTGGACCATTGTCCGATCCTATAGAGCAGGGTAGTCCATATCGGGGTATTATTTCTCGTAGCAGGAATCTCACGACTTCTCCTGCTTTCTCTGTACGAGTAGGACATGCTTCTACCCAGCCTGAATAGGTGCACACCACTACCAGCAGGTAGCGATGTCCACCCGATTTAGGCATCACTGTATAGTCAATTTGTAAATCGGACATGGGAAGTCCCCCCATAAACTGGACTCCTGGTGGCTTTACTGGTCCTTGTCTTGCATTATTTTTAGCACACGTTACACATCTACGTACAATGGCCTGAGTCAAGTTGGACAATCTTGGTATGTAGAAATGTTTTCTGAGAGATTCTTCTGTACTGTCTCTCCCAGAATGTGTCCCGTTATGATAGTTTTGGACAATTTCTACCGCTAGTGATGCTGGAATAACTATTCTTCCATCTTCTAACTGATACCATTTGTTCTCCAAATACTTTCCAGGTTCAGTCCTTAACCACTCCTCTTCTTGAGCTGTATAAATTGGAGTCCATTGAGACAGTGGAGTTGGTATAAGAGCAGCTATATGCCCCACATATTCCTGTCTTCCTGATTCAGCAGCACGCTTAGCTGCACTATCTGCCATCCGATTCCCTTTGGTTACATCACCATCTCCTCTCAGATGCGCCCGACAATGTATAATACCGACTTCTTTCGGCTCCCACACTGCTTCCAATAGTTGTAGGATCTCAGCTGCGTATTTGATTTCTTTGCCTTCTGAATTCAATAGTCCTCTTTCTTTATACAAAGCTCCGTGGGCATGAGTGGTTAAAAACGCATACTTGGAGTCCGTGTAGATGTTCACTCTTAAACCTTCAGCCAATTGTAACGCTCGTGTCAGTGCTATCAATTCTGCCTTTTGTGCTGATGTTCCTTTTGCCAGTGGCCGAGCTTCTATCACCTTGTCTATCGTTGTTACTGCATATCCTGCATAGCGGATCCCTTCTTTTACATAACTACTGCCGTCGGTGTAATATTGAACATCAGGGTTCTGGATGGGAAAATCACGAAGATCTGGTCTACTTGAAAATACTTCATCCATTACTTCCAAACAATCATGTTGACTTTCAGTAGGTTGTGGCAAAAGGGTAGCTGGATTTAAGGTATTTACAGTCTCTAAATGCACTCTTGGGTTTTCACACAACATTGCTTGATACTTGGTCATACGGCTGTTACTAAACCAATGATTTCCTTTGTAATCCAACAACGTCTGTACTGCATGTGGAACTCGTACATAAAGTTCTTGACCCAGAGTGAGTTTATCGGCTTCAGCTACTAGCAGGGCGGCTGCAGCTACAGCTCTTAGACAAGGTGGAAGTCCGCTGGCCACTGCATCCAGTTGCTTAGACATGTAGGCAACAGGTCTTTGCCATGATCCCAAGTACTGTGTCAATACTCCCACAGCCATTCTTCTTTGCTCATGTACATACAGGTAGAATGGCCGTGTGTGGTCAGGTAGACCTAATGCTGGGGCACTCATCAAAGCCCTCTTCACATCTTCGAATGCCGTTTGCTGTTCTTGAGTCCATAAGAAGGGGTCGTGCTCTGTACCTTTGATAGCTGCATACAGAGGTTTTGCCAGTATCGCGTAGCTGGGAATCCATATCCTACAGAAGCCTGCTGCCCCCAAGAATTCTCGCACTTGTCTTCTATTCCTGGGTATCGGTATTTGGCACACAGCTTCTTTTCTCTCTGGCCCCATAATTCTTTGACCTTCAGAGATATGGAATCCCAGATATTTGACAGTTGGCAAACACAACTGAGCCTTCCTTCTTGACACCTTGTATCCTGCCTTCCAGAGAATGTGTAGTAGATCGTGCGTTGCTTGCTGACATACTTCCTTTGTAACTGCTGCTATCAACAAGTCATCTACATATTGTAATAATACACACTCTCCTGGGATAGACTCGAAATCTAGTAGATCTTGACTTAGAGCTGAACCAAATAGGGTAGGTGAATTTTTAAACCCCTGGGGCAATCTTGTCCAGGTCATTTGGCGTTTCGAGCCCGTTACAGCATTTTCCCATTGGAAAGCGAAGATACATTGGCTTTCTGCGGCAATTCGGAGGCAAAAGAAGGCATCTTTGAGATCTAAGACTGTAAAGTAAGTAGCCCCGCCCGGAATTAAAGCAAGCAGGTTATATGGATTGGGCACGACTGGATGTATACTAACAACCGCATCATTGACTGCTCTCAAGTCCTGCACAGGTCGATACTCATCTGTACCGGGCTTTTGAACAGGCAGCAATGGGGTGTTCCAGGGGGAAGTACAGAATTTTAGGATACCATACCGTATGAACTTATCCAGATAAGATTGGATGTTCTTCTTAGCCTTCTGCGGAATATGATATTGTCTCAGGCTTACTGGATAAACCCCAAGTTTTAGTTCGATTTTAATAGGTGGAATATTGCGGGCCAGTCCTGGTGGGTTGTTCTCTGCCCAAACTCCTGGTATGTTAAATAAGGATTCATCACTCCTCGGGTTTTGGCTAGTCAACACTGTATAAAGTCGCCACTCTTCTTCCTTTGGTACGGACAATGTCATAATACCTGAGGGTCCATTAAACTTTAAGGATGTTGTTCCATTTGGTAGGAACGTAATCTGCGCTTGTAATTTGGATAGCATATCACGTCCCAGCAATTGGACTGGACACTCAGGCATATAAAGGAATTGATGTTTTACTACGTGGCCTCCCAATGTACAGAGTCGACTTTTAAGAACCGGTTTTTCAGCACTTCTTCCAGTTGCTCCTATTACAGTAATAGTTCTTCCAGATGGAGGAGCAACTTGATTAGTCACCACCGAATGTTCAGCACCAGTGTCGATCATAAACGCACTCCTTTTTCCCCCTATTGATACATCGACCATAGGCTCCGCTCGACCAAGGGGGATGGAGCCCGGTCGGTATCAATAGTCCTCCATGACCGTGTCAGCCAATCCCACAAAGTCCCTACCTTCTCTATCGCGGGACCTTTGCGCTGCTGGATAGTACCTATCTTCCCTTACACTTCCTTTCCATTACTCCCTCACCCCTCTATTACCATTAATTAATTGCCTCTTTAAAGTTTCCGTTTAACCTGCCCTGGGTAAGTTCTTGCTCTCATACTGCTCTCTTTGCGGACACTTGCGTTCCTCCAATGCCCTTGCCTTCCTTACAGTACGCGCACTGATGACCCTACTCAAAGGCTCCCTATTCCATCTACCAGACCTCATCACCGTGACATCTATCATACATTGCGATCAGACCAGTACACAGAATTGACAAACACCACACATGACACGACAGACCGTGACACCCTATACGACACACCATGACAGTAGAGACACACACACCATGATAGAGATAGACACACACACACCATGACGATAGCATCCATAATATCTCACAAGACACACCCAAAGGCAGACGCACCATGGGGAAGATCAGACCACCAATTAACAGACAGACACACAGGTACCATGGCAAAGGACACACAACTTGACACTGGGCACACAAGTCTACCTGAACTGTGGGCGCTCTTTGACGCTTAAGGGAAGTGGCTGTTCTGCCTCTGCAGGATATTATATATTATATTATTTTATCTTTGAATTCTATGGTTTTTATACAGGACATAAGGATTCTGTCTGGGCCTTGTAGGCTTAAAATGGGTACACAAACCTCAGATGAAGCACACATGACATTCTAATGGGTCATGATTTATTTAAGTAAAAATTGTCCAAAATTGGGATTCTTTGTCAAAAACTAACAGCTGGCTTACTGCCCCATAGGGTTAAAGGCTAACTAGCGATAGATGTCGACATTATTGATCATCATAAATGTTCCACCTCTATAAAAGTTTTCCAGTTTCCTAGTCGGAGCATTAACGTGTGTAACAAAGTTCAGGGAGGAAACACCATTTGATGACCACGAGAACAGGGTTGCTCCCATCAAACGGGAGGGTTATGCCGTAATTTCCAAACATTTTAAAATCCATCATTCGGGTTGTATTATTAGAGTAGAAACCCCAAAAAGGTGTACCTTTTTTTTTAAAATCATGACTGTGTGTGTGTGTGTGTGTGTGTGTGTGTGTGTAATATATATATATATAAACAGGGCCCGCCAAGGTAGATTTGGGAGTGGTGCGTGGGATGACCAATCAACGTCGGTCCAGTATGGAGGTTCCTGTTTCTATATAGGCCGGATCATCCCCTCCCACAACTCCATGCTCCGCCTTCTCATTTGTAGCGTCAAGGGGAAGGGCAGAGTAGGGGAAGACCCTAAAATATACTAAATTTGGTTGTGGTGTGCCGAACCCGATGTTCGGGCAGGCCCGTAAAGAGGGCAAAAAAGTGTAAGCAAAGCAACTTTAATACGTATTTACTTGTTTAACAAGACCCTTGCAGATATGTGGTTTCATATTATTTGGTTAAGTCTTTGAATGCCTTCTTTGACTGACTTTTCCAGTACTTGGCCCAGGTCCTCCATTTCCCTATGGTGGGCACCTATTAAAATAATTAGCAGGGGGAGACATAGTGTCCCCCCATGCCCTCAACTGTGTCCTGCGTGTAGGGGCAATTAAACTAAACAGGGGACCTAGTGTCCCCCACAACCTCCACCTATTGGTGGTACAGGAGCCCTAGAAGAATGGGGGAAGTTGAATCCCCAAATCCCCATCCATTAATGGGGGTTGGGTCCCTGGTTCAGCGGAAGGGGAGTTTTAATACGAGGGGGGGTGGATTCTGGTACTGGAGGAGCCCAAGTCACCACCCCCCCCCCCCCCCCTTTTACAGAATATCCAATCTACCCCTCACCCTAAAAAAGTAGGAGGGGCGGGGGGGGGGCAAAAAAAATGAAATACCTGAGAAACACTGTATATTACATTAGGTCTTTTTTTTTTTATTTCCCTCTTCTTTTTTCAGTCTAAAAGCATAACAATTACAGCTTCAGGCTTGAATACAGTAAGATTTTTATATTTATGGAGGCAGGAGGGCTAGATATGGTGTTAACACAATAGGGTCATGAATTCATGTTTGTGTTCCTGACCCTATAGTGATCCTTTAATGTAATGCTGACTTTGGTCTCTCTAACACTGTGGCATGTTCACTTTCTTCTACACTCACTACATACAGCTTTTCTCTGTCCCAGACTATAAACCAGGAGCTTCTGCCTGCTAGTAAGAAGGTAAGGAGACAAGTGGACCAGCGGGTGCTAGGGGACAGTCCTTAGAAAGCGTTGAGTGAGCGCATCATTAGATGCATTTATGCCAAGCTCAGGGTGCTGTCTGCATAGTATGCCCTAAGTTGGCCAGCTGCATGATTGCCAGGCAGCCTGACATGCATTCATACCAGGCTGGCCTTCTAATTCTTTGAGCAGACATGTCCTCTTTTTGGGCATGTTCGCCCCTTTTGGCAGGTTACGTGATTTGTGTCAGTGGGGGTGCCTTTTACCATGCCCATTTACTTCCTGCTTGACTGGACACTGCTGTTAGGCGTTATGGATTTATTTATGAAAAGATGAAAACATAAATTAGTGAGAGATTAGCCTAGGGTATGTGTTTTCTTATAGCTGCTGTTTTCTTTCTCTCCAGCACCATCAGATACATGATGCTTGGGAGTGTTTTACTGTTTTTGGTCGATACGATTCTGTAATTAGGCCCGTCATAATTGTCAGCACCAGGCCCACTGTGCTCTTAATCTGGCCCTGGCTGTGTGGTGTTCCCAGGGCTGCATAAACAGAAACACAACCGATATAACTCCTAAATGAGAAATGAGCAGTGAAACTGCAGGGGTACGACCTATAAACTAAAACTATTTCAGTTGTGCTGCTTAGAGGAATCCTTGCATCATTAAAGGGTTACTCCTTTGAGCATTTTGAAGTGGTCATGGTGCCTGGGCTGGCTCATGTCAATTCTGTATATATTTCTGTGCACAGAATGCCAATCATTGGCTGAGAGCGTTCAGCTGATGCGCTCAGCCAATGAATGACCAATAGGATCGGCATGTCATTAGCCTTAGAGGACCATCGGTGCCTGGCGCTGTCCCAGTTAAGAGGGCAAACCTTTGCAAAACAGTACCCTGCCGCCGTTTACTTGGAAATGGAGCCAGGGTACTTTTCACATCATAACCACTACAGCGGATGTGTGCGTATTTAAATGTAGAATAATTAAGTTATTTATTTTTAAATAAGTTATTTATTTTATCTTAAATAGGCTGACTTTTGAGTTTTTTATCTGTAACTTTGAATTAACAGGCACGTGTATTGCCAAGTTACCTACCCTTTGCTTTTATTGCGATAGAATTTTTCAATGCTGTGATCCTTGATTGGAAGAATGCGAATGTGTTTGGTCAAAACCTGTTCAGTTTGTGCGAAAACAAAATAATAAACTGCATACGTTTTTTATGACAGATCTATTTTTTTTTTTAAGCAGCTCCTGCCTGCAGAGGTCATTAGACAAACACAACAAAGAAACGAAACTAAAGATAAATTGAAACCATATAAACATTGAAGAAACTGAAACTATGTAGTCATTCGTGTCTGCAGTCAAATAAGTGTTGCCTATTCTTGTCCTGGGCTGGCTGTGCAATAATCTCAGGTATGGTATCCCACGTAGAACTTTATATAGCCCAGGTATATGTTATAGGAATGTGATAGATTTGGGGTATTTTGTCATTGTTTAGCCTGTTTAGTTAAGTTGCCTGTAAGATAGGAGATATAGGAAGAGAAGGACAGTTTGTCATGAAATATTAAATAACTGTATCCGCTGTTCCATTTCAGTCTTTATATTATGTGTAACTTTTATATTTATTTATTTTTTTTAATTCGTGTTTTATTGAATTTTCAATTTTACAGCGTGGAGGTACATAAGGAAAGAAGGGGTAGGGTACAAAAAGGTACACATAAATCACAATTGTTCATTAGACAGCTACATTGGTTTTTCCATCATTTACAAACATGTTGAGGTTTCTTTATAATTTTTTGTTTTTTTAAATTATTATTTAAATAGCATTAACAACTTCCAGTGCCTGGGGGTACAGAGAAGGGTTGTACAGACAGAAGTGAACAAGGCGATTGCAAATGATAAAGGGGCAATGTTGAAACAAGCATACAGTCTTGAGGTGTTACCCTTGCCTTACAAACGTGCAAGCAACAGTAAATGTTAAGACAAAAGTGGTTGTTTTTCGTTTATTGTTTTTTGTTTGTATGTGGAAAAATATGGACATACTGTAAATATATGGGCCGCTATTGAGACTAGGGCTAAATAATTTCTGTACTTTTAAGGGGCACTTCTACCACTATAAACACTACAGGCTACTGTAATAATTATGATGCCAGGAGTTCCCACAGGAAAGACTTAGGAAGGGTTTGAAAACTTGGGGGTCTGTTGCCGACTCCCTAGATCCTTAAGCTCAAGTTAGGAGCTTCTGTTAGCTCCGATGATCTAAGCCCTGCTGTGCAGAGCCAGCTGTTTGACTGACAGCGTCACTATTTTTAAGTGGTTTGAGTACTTACTGTGTGAGGATGCCAGGGTACTCCTGACTTTAAAACCACTACAGTCGACTGTAGTGCTTATGGTGCTTGGAGTGTCCTTTAATGTAATTCTATACTCCAGATTTATGGTTTACCGAGTTTCTACCTATACTTTGCACTGTCATAACACAAAGCTAACACACTGATAACGACTTATCTCTGACTCATTCCTTCGCAATAAATGTCACTTGTGGAATTTGTGGGCGGGCCACAAAAGTTCTGCATAATTAGATAACTCCCAAATACACTTTTCAATGATAGCATCTAAGTGAGGGGCAGGATGTAAGTAAAAATTTTATTGATACATTATTTTTGTTGTTATTATGTTATTATTTATATAGCGCCAACAAATTCCACAGTGCTTTACAGTGGTTGGCGAACAAACATGTAGTTGTAACCAGACAAGTTGGACACACAGGAACAGAGGGGTTGAGGGCCCTGCTCAATGAGCTTACATTTACTGTGTTTTTAATTTTTAATACTACGTTCATTTATCTCTATATTTAACAAATATAAAAGAGAGAAGTTAAATGTAAAAATCCATACCTCTTTATTTTGAAGCTGGACGTATCTCGGCTCCCTGTCAATCATTGTTACAAGCTGTGTTCTTTGCACCTGGTAGTCAGCATCCAAGAACCATACAGAGAAGAGGAGAAATGAAACAAGGTTTCTATTTCACCCTATACCCACACATATTATATACCATTTTTCTCTCCGTTAAACGGTCTTTCTAAAGATATCATTATTTTCATTATATCATATAATTTACTCTAAAATAAATTGTAAAAAAACAATTTTTTTAAACACACCTTTTCAAACTTTCACCCCCAAAATCTGTTACGCATCTACAACCGCCAAAAAACACCCATGCTAAATAGTTTCTAAATTTTGACCTTCGTTTAGAAATTATATATATATATAAAATATATTAGGGTTTCAAAACAGTAAAACGTATCACAACAATGATATCATCAGTGAAAGTGCCGTTTGTGTGTGGAAAAATATAATTTCATTCTAACTGAATTTTGATAGAGATTAATTTATATTTATATATATATATATATATATATATATATTTCATATATAATTTTATTAAAGGGGTTTCAAAACAGTAAAACGTATCACAACAATGATATCATCAGTGAAAGTGCCGTTTGTGTGTGGAAAAATATAATTTCATTCTAACTGAATTTTGATAGACACTAAAGTGTCAGAAAAACAAACCAGTTTTCCTGGCACTATATGATCCTAAGGACCCCCCCACCCTCAGGGTCCCCCTCCCGCTGGACTGAAGGGGTTAAAACTGTTTAGCCACTTACCTTAATCCAGCGCCGGGCTTCCTCGGTGCTGGTGGCCTCTCCCCCCCACCCCTGCCGACGTCAGCTCTCGAGTGGAGCGTAATGCGCATGCGCAGCAAGAGCCACGCACGCATTTAAACAGTCCATCGGAAAGCATTTCTCAGGAACACAGCCACTAGAGGTTGGATTAACCCTGCAATGTAAACATAGCAGTTTACCTGAAACTGCTATGTTTACATCTGAAGGGTTAAAACCTGTAGGACCTGGCACCCAGACCACTTCATTGAAATGAAGTAGTCCTCAGTGACTATACTGTCCCTTTAATATCAAAATATAGTTAGAATAAAATGAAAGTCTCAAACGTGGACTGAAACGTTGAAGCAGCTTTTTAAAGATGGATCAATGAACTTATAACTTTTAATCACATTTGGGAATCCGAGAGTGCTGGTCATCTCTTCTATTGGTATGTGCTATCTTCCCCAGACTTCAAGCACCCGGTTCAATTATTTTGAAGCCAGAGTGCAAGGATATTGTGGACTATATATATAGATATATATATTTGGGTACATTGATCTTGAGGAAGACCCTGTAGGGTTGAAACGTCGGTCAGGTGATGTAACTTTTTTTGGAATAAATACTAACAAATTTTTGACAAGACCTTAGAGTGCATCTCTTTTTTTCTTTCTACATATCCTAAATGTGGGATTGCACCAAGGCATTAATACATCAAGTTTATGGGAGATAGGGTGAGTGCCAAGCTTTCTATATATATATATATATTTTTTTTTTTTTATTCTAATTCTTTTATAATAATATTTAATACAATATATAAAGTTATTATATATATATATATATATATATATTCTATATATACGTGTGTAATTTTACTCTAAGTATATTTTTATATTAATATATGTATTTTTATTATTTATGAACTTTTTTTTTTTTTTTACTTTTTTTCACCAGCAGGTGAACAATCCCACTCCAGGCAACACTAAGGATGACTATTGCGGCCATGTGAGCGCACTTTCAGACCATTTTTTGTTGGACATTAAAGGGACACTATAGTCACCGAAACAACTTTAACTTAATGAAGCAGTTTTGGTGTATAGCTGATGCCTCTGCAGTCTCACTGATCCATCCTCTGCCATTTAGGAGTTAAATCACTTTGTTTATGCAGCCCTAGTCACAACTCCCTACATGTGACTTATACAACCTTCCTAAACACTTCCTGTAAGGGGTCATCTAATGTTTACACTTCCTTTATTGTAAATTCTGTTAAATTTGGAGTTCTTATCTCCTGCTGTGTTAAAAGAGATAAAACTTTTAAAGTAATTTACAACTGATTGAAAATGAAACCACTTTTTTTTTTTACAGGCTGTGTCAGTCACAGCCAGGGGCAGTGTGGCTTGGGCTGCATAAACAGAAACAAAAGTGATTGATTTAACTCCTAAATGGCAGAGAATTGAGCCGTAAGACTGCAGGGGCATGATCTATACACCCAATTTGATTAATTAAGCTAAAGTTGTTTTGGTGACTGTTATGACGAGTTCACTTTAAGCTAAAAGAGATCTGGTATACTGTACGAAATATATGGGAATGGACATTCAAGGCCACGGTGATTTAATGTGAGAAAAGAGGTATTCATTAATGTCTGAGTGGAAGATCAGATCAGATCCAGGCTATAACTAGCATTCCAGACACAAGTGGCTGCAGCCTGTGTACCAGACAGAGTTATTTCCGTCACGGGAAAACAACATATCATATATAAACGGCAATCTTAATTTGTCTCACCATATGCGAAATGTATTTTTGAACAGTTTCAACATACTATATACAACTACCTATCTAAAGCTACTGGTTTCATTTAACCCCTTAAGGACAAATGACATGTGTGACATGTCATGATTCCCTTTTATTCCAGAAGTTTGGTCCTTAAGGGGTTAAAGAGACACTATAGTCACCCAAACAACTACAGCTTAATGTTCCTGCAGGCTTTATAATATAAACAAAGCTTTTTCAGAGAAAAGGCAGTGTTTACATTGCTGGCTAGATACACCTCTAGTGGGGGAGAGGGAGGGTGGGAGAGAGGGAGCACCTAAACGCTAAACGGTGCTTTTAAACCGATTTTAAACAGGTTTGTATTCCTGACAATATTGTGTTCCTTTAAAGGAGAACTGTTATTTACTAAATGTGCCTTAAAGGACCACTATAGTGCCAGGAAAACATACTCGTTTTCCTGGCACTATAGTGCCCTGAGGGTGCCCCCACCCTCAGGGTCCCCCTCCCGCCTGGCTCTGTGGAGAGGAAAGGGGTTAAAACTTACCTTTTTCCAATGCTGGGCGGGGAGCTCTCCTCCTCCAATCCTCCTCTTCTCCTCCCATTCGGCTGAATGCGCACGCGCGGAAAGAGCTGCGCGCGCATTCAGCCGGTCTCATAGGAAAGCATTTACAATGCTTTCCTATGGACGCTTGCGTTCTCTCACTGTGATTTTCACAGTGAGAATCACGCAAGCGCCTCTAGCGGCTGTCAATGAGACAGCCACTAGAGGAATTGGAGGAAGGATTAACCCATTTACAAACATAGCAGTTTCTCTGAAACTGCTATGTTTATAAAAAAAAATGGGTTAACCCTAGCTGGACCTGGCACCCAGACCACCTCATTAAGCTGAAGTTGTCTGGGTGCCTAGAGTGGTCATTTAAGCATTTCAGACAAAATCACACAGTGATGCTGTTATTCATGTTTTGCAGAAGAAATGGACCTGGGGCTGCAGCTCCATTAGTCCCTATCTTAATCCACCTTACATAGCTCTGTGCATATCGGTATAGTAAATATAAGTCATAACTGCATCATGTTCTGCTAGCAATTTCTCAGATACAATTCAAATATTTTCATTACAGTATTAAGTTTAGTCCTTGACTGTATTTAAAGGTACACTATAGTCACCAGAACAACTACAGCTTATTGAATTTGTTCTGGTGAGTAGAATCATTACCTTCAGGCTTTTTGCTGTAAACAGTGTTTATTTCAGAGAAAATGCAGTGTTTACATTACAGCCTAGTGAAAACTTCACTGGCCACTCCTCAGATGGCTGTTAGAGATCCTTCCTGGGTCATTGCTGCCTAAAATGCATCCAAACATTCAGTGTCTCATTGATTCAATTCATCTCTATGAGGACATGCTGTTTGAATTGTGCTGGCTCTGCCCCTGATCTGCCTTTTTGTCAGTCTCAGCCAATCCTACGGGGAAGCATTGTGATTGGATTCGGCTATCACTTTTGTTGATGTCAGCAGGCAGTGGGCAGGTCTAACAGAAACAGGGACAAAATAAGCAGCTGCAGACTTGAATACAAGTAATATGTTACTCTATTTATGGAGGCATAAGGGGACCAGGGTGGCTAGATGGTGGTTTTAACCATATAAATGTTTGTGTTCCTGACCCTATAGTGCTCCTTTAACAGAACACTCCAAACTAAATTAAAGAGTGTGTACATATTTTTTTCTTCTTTTTTATGTTAATAGAAATTAGCACTTTTATAAATAAACTTATACACCTCCATGGCTATGATACAACTTATTTTCAAATTCTTCGATTGGAGAGCCACAATATGTCAGTAATAGGGAGGGATTGCAGATACTAGATCTGCAGCTATTCCAAGACAAGATTTTACATGCCCCCAAAATAAACAGACAAAACATACATTATATGCCTATTTTCTTTGGGGTTATATTTACTAAATTGTTATTTTTTTCTTAAAATGGCAGTTATTGAACTGTTATCATTCACATATTCCAAACTGTTTTATATCTTGTGTTAATTAAATTTTCCCATCCAATTACAAGTCTACCATTTTTAAAATGTAATTTATTTTTTTCTAAATATTAAAAGGTAAAATTGTAATGCTCTTATATTATAATTTATAGAGCGCCAACATTTTACAGTCTACTTATCTGTAGGCAGGTAAGTTCACAAAAGTCCCTTTTGTCTTGTTCATGCTGTAATATAATATAAAGATATCACCATGGGCTTTTTCAAGAGCAAGATATTTTGTAGATAAATATATCTAACGATGTTACCCACCGCAATTGGACATTTGAGACTATAGATTACTGTAATGGACCGTTTTGCACACAAGGGGTAAAAACCGTTTAGGCGATCGGCCCCCTTTCCAGAGATACAGGCACAGCTACTGCAGAACACCAAACTCCCGAACTGGATACAAAATAGCACTCCAACTCCCGAACTGGAACCTCCCAAATAGCTACTAGTAGACGAACAGGAAAAGCAGACAATCAGCTTACACTCCTGGCAATCAGTCTCTAACAGCATACAGTGAATCCCCCCAAGAACGAGACAAGGCTCCGTGTTGAGGGTCAAGCAGTGGTCTGTTTAATGAGGGCTACCTGCCCGGCTTTTATGCAGGTCTCCCACCTGGTGGACACTCCCCTAGAGGACCAAATGGGAGACTGTGACAAGGGACAGACAAGTAGACAAATAGGACACACAGTCACAGTATATTCCCACAATGCATCCTGGCTTCCTCCCCTCTGCCCTGGGAGATAATTGAGAAGTAACTCAATTATCTCCCAAGACAAAGGCAAAACTCCATTACACATGTGGGGACACAAAACCAGTATTATACTTTAAAATACATAAAGTAACATTTATTACATAAAACACAGACATGTAACATATCCCCAGATAGCTCAGGTCTGAGTGCACATTATTAGGTGAATGGCACTCAGACCACACGAATACAGTTTAATTGCCATGGAGCTAAAGTCTTTAATTACACGAATAGGCTCCATGGCATAGCTATCTGGGTTAAAACATTCCCCCAACACAAAATACCGAATCTGCATACATTCGTTAAATTGGTACGAATCAGAACCAGGGGCTGGAGGCTCAGCGGTGCTTAGCTGACACTGTCCAGATTTGGCATAGGAAAGCCGGGCAAAAAAGCACTGGCTGCCCGGGGAGCTCCAGAACATCGCCATCGTGTGGCGGCTAGGTGTAACCGCGACCACCCAGTAACAGTCAATTAAGCTGCGGTTAACCACAGCTACTGGGTGGTCAATTGCCGGCAGACGCTCGTTAAGCCGCGGTTAACCGCGGCTTCAGGGAGGTAAATGGAGGGCGCACTCCAGCTTCTGGGTGGCCAATTAACGGCGCCGGCCGGCTTCCCACGGCTCTGGGGAGGCTGAAAAGAAACTGTTTGTTCGGTAGATGGAATCTACCGAACGGCTGTGCAGAAAGGGAGAAATAAATCCTTCTGCACAGTAAAATTAACCCTTTAGCTGCCGGTCCATAATCCAAAGGCAGCAGGTGGGCAACCAGGCTCCTCCAATGCAATGTGGCAAGATTGGTCTCGTCACAGTTACCTTCTGCACATGCCAACGTGAAGCCATATGGGTAGAAATCTATCTAAAGTCTATTTCTGGCTATGTGATATTAAAGGGTCACTCCAGATCCCTAGACTACTTTAGCTTGCTGAAAAGATTTATGTGTGGAGCGTGTGTCCTCTTTTATTTCATTTTGCAAAAAGTGCAGATTTACAATAGAAATTGACACTTGTAAATTAACCTGGTTAAACCCCCTTGGCGTTCAATCAGACAACAGATAAAGCTACTTCCTGGTTTCATTAGCTCAATGCAGCTGACCTCAAGAGGCAGGAATTGCCCAGAGCACCTGCCTTGCATTGAGCTGCATTGGGATGTCTGTGATTGGACAGTGGTAAAGTCTGGGCGGGGTTAGAAGGGGAAAGCTTGCAAAGGCAGCAGACAAGACAACTGCAGGCTTTGCAAGCTGATTTTAGATATATTCCCAATGAAAAATACATAATTAAATGCATGCAACCTTTCATTTGGGATATATCTTCTAAAAGGTGATTTTTATAAATTTAGTATTTGGGTAGTGTAGTGTCCCTTTAAATATTTTCACCCATGTACATTATAAAAGAGAATGATTATCTCAGACAGTTGGTTCTAGGTCTTTGCTGAGCATTCTAGATCATTGTACTTAATCCTGCGTTTTCTTTCTTCAAATAGAATTCTATATATCAAGACCTAACAAGTTCATCAAGACCTTAAAAGATGGAAGATAAAGATACATCAACTCTTGAACCGAAGGTTGTCCTACTGAATGATGTCAAACTCCAGCTTTTACGTATAAAAGAAGAATCATGGGAAATGATTGATGAATTTGAGGATAAAATTATGAAATTGAAGGTGAATTCAGCGCGAGACAAGGAGAGAACTTATGATTTATTTCAGGATCTACAAGAATTACTTAGAAAAGAGGGGAATATGCATTTGACCGAAAATGAAATAAAGGAAGAAAAGGCAATGACAGTTTTAGAAACAGCCATCCTGGATTTGACTGAAATATCAACTAACATCACTGACCAATTGGAGAAAATGGAAAGTAATTCATCAATGAGACGTTTTCTGATCAAAACCAAGAAGAAAAAGGAAATGTTAACTACTCAGTTGAAGGCAATGGATGGACTTGAGACACAGTTTAATGGATTTATGTCTCCACTTCATCTCCGAGATTGGAAAGGAATGAGACATATTGTAAAACCAATTCCTGAACCTCTTCAGTTTGACCCAGAGAGTGCACATCCTAATCTCATCTTGTCTCCAGACCTCAGACAAGTAAAATACAGCCATTCTACTAAGAAATTGAAGGGAAGTAAACTGTGTTTTGAGCCAGGGCTTTATGTACTGGGGATTCCAGGATTCCAATCTGGCCGTCACTACTGGGAGGTCTATGTGGGTAACAGAAGCAATTGGGTAATCGGCATTGTAAAAGAGTCAGTGGAACGTAAGGGAGTACATGTACTGAGCCCACAAAATGGGTACTGGGTCATACGGAAGCAAACACACAATACATTTTATGGTATCGGAGATCCCCCTCTTAGTCTAGTTCTGAAGAACCAACCCACTAGGATTGGAGTGTGTCTGGATTTTTTTGTTGGTCATGTGGCCTTTTATGACGCAGACACAACTCTTCTGCTCTTTCAGTTCAATGATTTTCAAGTAAAGGAGAAAATGTTTGCTTTCTTTTGCCCAGGAATAGCTATGCAAGATGAAGACTGGTGCTCATTAACATTGTGCCCTTAAGACACCAGTTGTGCACTATAGATACAAAAACAACAACAAAAGATAGAATTATTCTGATTCCATTTACTGTGATATGAACTAACGCCATGCACCTCAAAAGCCAACTGGAATATGTTAATTTCAAAAGACACAACCTCCCAAGTGTGCATTTGTGAGAATTTGCGTGCAATGTACTCTGCATTCTGACAATTTTGGTCAAATTATGTGACACAAAGGGATATTTTCACAAAACAGTGAATCTTGTTGACATGGGAGCAAACTATTCAAAACTTTTGGAAAAGTTGTCCAGACCAATAAGGGATTATTCTCCCTTAAAGGAACACTATAGTCACCTAAATTACTTTAGCTAAATAAAGCAGTTTTAGTGTATAGATTATTCCCCTGCAATTTCACTGCTTAATTCACTGTCATTTAGGAGTTAAATCACTTTGTTTCTGTTTATGCAGCCCTAGCCACACCTCCCCTGGCTATGATTGACAGAGCCTGCATGAAAAAAAAAAAACTGGTTTCACTTTCAAACAGATGTAATTTATCTTAAATAATTGTATCTCAATCTCTAAATTGAACTTTAATCACATACAGGAGGCTCTTGCAGGGTCTAGCAAGCTATTAACATAGCAGGGGATAAGAAAATCTTAATTAAACAGAACTTGCAATAAAGAAAGCCTAAATAGAGCTCTCTTTACAGGAAGTGTTTATGGAAGGCTGTGCAAGTCACATGCAGGGAGGTGTGACTAGGGTTCATAAACAAAGGGATTTAACTCCTAAATGGCAGAGGATTGAGCAGTGAGGCTGCAGGGGCATGTTCTATACACCAAAACTGCTTCATTAAGCTAAAGTTGTTCAGGTGACTATAGTGTCCCTTTAATGCTATCTTGACCATAGTCATTTCTCAAGTCATTAAAATTCACTGTTTTGTTAATAGAACCCAAAAGTATATGTTTTACATGATAAAATACAGCCATATATTTTAAGTAATAACATTAAAGAATTTTGTGAGCTTGATATTAACATTATCTACTAGCTATTTTGTTTGTAGTATATCTGGTTAGCAATGAAAACATAAGGTCTTTTGTAATGAAAAAAAGGGAACATCACTTTTAAGCTAAAATTTTTGTAGAAGATGTTAATTCTGTTTCTGTATAGAAATCAAAAGTGTGGGAATAACCAGCTGTAAAACTGAGTACATTTTAAAAGACCACTCCAAACACTATGACCACTCCAGAGCACTCTAAAACAGGTTGACTGCCTACAATAGGGAATGCCCCAGGCTATTCTTGGCACCATAACAACTACCAGGGCCGTTTGAAGCAATTTGGGGGCCCCAAGCAAAATGGACACAGAGGCCCCCCCAACCTCCAACCCCCCGCCCCCCACACGCACGCAGACCTTACAGGAACCACAGCATATTTTACAGTGCAAATACTGCTTAGAGCTCTGCCCTGCACCTTAGTGGTCTTTCCTCTCCCCCCACCATCCCCTACCAGTCTCTTCTCACCCCCCCATTCTCCTCACCCCCCTCCCTGTGTTTTCCTCATCTCCTCACCCCCCTCCCCTGTGTTCTTCTACTCCTCCCCTCCCTATGTTCTTACTACTCCTCCCATATGTTCTCTCTTACCATGTTCTTCTGTCCTTCTTACTCCCCTCCCCATGTCCTTCTTACTCCCCCCTCCCCCTCACTGTGTCCTTCTTACTCCCCCTCACTATGTCCTTCTTATTCCCCTCCCTTCCCTGTGTCCTTACTCCCCTCCCCCCCTGTGTCCTTCTTAGTGTGCACTTCCTGTCAGTCCGGCCTGACAGCCAGGAGGAAGAGGAGCTCGGCCACACTACAGCCTGACAACTTCAGTGTTCTGTAGTGATTATGGTGCTTGGAGTGTTCCTTTAGGTTGAACCAAATTTAAACTAAATCATGTTTGGTACACATTAAAAAAATTTGGTTCAAAAAATCAATGTCATACATTTCATGCTATTTGTGTTTTGTAGACATTGTTTTAAAATTTAACTCGGAACATCATAATGCTTAAATTTTATTCCTAGCACTACAGTTGTTATCTATCTATAGTAGTTCTCTTCCCCCGCCATATAGATACTTTCGTATTCAGATCCATTCATGACCTTGCTCCTCCCTACCTCTCTTCACTTATCTCCTCTCCCTTAACTCCACCTCTCTTACCCAATCCTCACACCCATGCGCTTCCTTACAATTCTTTGATTTTTCCTGTTAGCTCCCTACCACCGGAAGAAGCTCCGTCCTCATATCCAACCTTCCTTCTCTCTGTCATTTTACCACAAACTTCTAAAAGCACTCCTCTTCACGGAAGCCTGCCCCGTACCTTCCTAAGCCAGTCCATCACTTGTCCCTCACAGCTCAACATATCTGACGTTATAAGTCTCCCAATATTCCCTGATTCCGAGCACTAAGGTCACTAACTAGGCTTTTTACTACCTCCTAATTCAACTCTTCCATACAAATTTAAATTGATGCTGGAGCACTTCCCTTTAACACCACCTTCCCTTCTCTGCAGGCCCACTTGACTTATGACTTCTTGCTTCTTATCAACCACTTCGTCTCTATTCTTGTCTTGATATTTTACTTACTTACAGGTATACTAATTATCTTCTATTTTCTCCTTATTCAACGCATTGTGATGAAAAGCATTGCTTCTAGATTCTATCTTCACCATACTCAATGTGTATTGTATTCTCATTGTTAAGCAGTACTTGTTATATTTGCACATTTTTCTATTACTTCAAAATAGTTTTTCCCCCCATAAACGTTTGTCTGAAAGTACAATTCTGCTTTAGATTGTAATGGGCGTTTGTCTCTGCTTGTAAATTTACCAATGTTATTTTTTCATAAATTATTTAGCATCATAATGGAACTGTTAAATAAATTAGTAAATTAAAAATGTTAATTTAAAATTACATTAAAACCAAATAAAACATTTTGGATTCCTTTATTTCAAAAGGTCTAAGAGAGCAGAAAAAAAACTAAATGCTTTTCATGTGCCGGTTAAATCTGAGACGAATTATATAAGGATTTAGTGAGTCCCATGTACGATATTCCAACTCTACCAGATCATCAAAACAGGAGAGATGTACAAAGATAGAGAGAAAATCTACAACTACTACAACTCAAGTCTTTTGGCCAGGTCTCCACTTAATTATAAGCATACTTTGCATAGTTTGACACTAAAGACGGTTCTCCCAATCCCTAAATCCTGGTCACTCTGATACAGCTCGGTTAACATGGAATTAAAGTTCTACATAAGCATCCCAATTTATATAGCAGTGATAAGATGGATTCATTAGCTGTACTGCAACCGGATTTAAAGCATCAGGAAAGTATTGATTTTTTCCTAACTTCTCAAAATGGCTGGGCATCGATGTCCCAAAACTCTGTGCAACATTGCAAGCACGATTACCAGTACAATGAGCTACAGTGGCTATGGTACTTAGAGTGGCTTTTAAAAAGTGCTTTCAAAAGTCACAAGCATGATGTGATTAGGTTGATGATTAGATTTTGAAATCAGATGAAAATTGTAGCATCCAGCCTAATTTAGGGGCACAAGTAATATAATGAAGACATGGAATACTAGGGACCTCATCAACGACACTATAGATTGTTACAAAGACATTTGGAGTTATTCACCAAAGTGAGAATTGTAGCTGAAATGAAAACATAGCTGACCTGGAGACTGTTTGTAGTTCGGCTAAATTTTTGACAATTTTAAATTTAGAGAATAGCCACGTACAACAAAATAAGGCTACGCACCAGTGATGGCAGTAGAGAAATCAATGGCAGAAGTGTGCAATGGAAGGGAAGCTGGATACAATAGTCTACTAGGAAAAGGAACAGAAGATGGTTAGTACCTGAACCCACAGATGGCTACCCAGTGGACTACAAAGAAGCCAAAGTTTGACAGGACCGAAAACTCTGTCATTGGGATCTCTAAAAATCCACACAGAACACATGTTCCATAAAGTACTAACATAAAATGCTTTATGTTACTTGGGACTAGCCCATATGTTTGTAACATCAACCTTGCTGCGACAAACTCAACAAAATACAATTAACCAAATCATATCAGAAAACATACAGGGAGTTATTATAACATAACATATTTATAAAGGGGTGGGGAAGACAATATTTAACAAAAAATATCTCTCCTGCCTGCAGAATTAGCAATAGGCAAATCTACCTGAATATGCAAATTACCAAGCCTTGCTATTCAGATTGTGCATACAGCTGTTGCTACCAACAAAGGGCGCTATACAGGCTCCACAGCCAAATCCACTTAGTTGGTAACAAGCATCAGCAGGGCAGGAGAGCACACAAAACAATTAACGGTACAGTATACACATTATATACACCCTGCACCTATAATGGGCACAGGGTGACTTCTGCTCCCAGTGATGGTGACTGCCGTCACAGGCTTGTTCCAGGTGGACACAGACCAGGCACTTATGATATATATATATATATATATAATTTTAGATTAGAGATGACCATTACATCAGATCAGGTCTGGATTGCCCATCAGGCAAATGCCCAGTGGGCTGCGATGGCCTTGGGTCGAGGCTGGCAGGGAAGATTACACAATCTCTCCTGCCTGCTCACATAGGGCCGGCACTGTACAAGGCCCTAATGTGTGTGATGATGGGCCTGTGGGGAGATCAAAGAAATCCATCAGAAAAGAAGGGCGAGGAGGATTCGGGGAATCCATCCAGTAGTTCCGCTGGGTGCTGTAGGTTCCTCTTGTGAGTTGGGAGTGTTGCAGCAGTTACCATGGCAACGCTTCAACAGTCCGGATCTCGCAAGGGTGAACTCTAGCTCCAGCAGCTGCAGGCTAGAATTAACTCACCACTGGACCACTAGCGCTTTACCACCAGACCACCAGGGCTTGAACAATGCCCCCGATCCCTAAGCAAAGGTAAGAAGTGAGGGGGGATAGAACGTTTATATATTTTTTAATTAAGAAAAATACTTTGCTTACATCTGCCCCCACACACAATACCTCCCAACACACACACACACACACTGCACCCCTCTCAGACACACACTGCACCCCTAATACACACTGCACCCCTCATACACAGCATCTCTGACACACTGCACCCCTCACACACACACTGCACCCTTCAAACACACACTCCAGTCCTCATACACACTGCAATCCTCACACACACACTGCACCCCTCAAACACACACTTTGCTTTGCTCACACACATTGCACCCCTCACACACAGGGCCGGATTAACGTAGGGGCTGATGGAGCTGCAGCTCCAGGCCCAGGCCCAGGCCCAGGCCCATGGAATAGGCCCATTGATTTATAAATAAAAAAAAAAATTTTTTTTTTTTACATTTTTTTCCCCCACACACTACTCTTAGGGATTCCACCTGGCTTTTATTTTATTGGCACAGCCAGTATTTGAGGCTGCCTGGCTGGTGCCAATATTGCAGGGATACTGGCAATACAAATGCTGGTATTTTTCTCAGTATAAACAAGAGATTACTCTGCAATACCAGCACTGGCCAGTAGGGGTCGCTGTGTGTGGAGACAGGCAGGGATAGGAAGTTCCAGCATATCCCTCCCTGCCTATCTATACTCACTGATCTGCAGGGGTGCAGACAGCAACTCCCACCCTGCAGAGACAGACTACAGCTCAGGGAAGTAAGGGATGGGGGGAAAAGCTGCAAGGAGACATATACTGAGATACTAAGGGACACTGGGAGACATTATGGCACAGACACATGGGGACACAGTGTCCCCATGTCTCCCAGCCAGTGTCCCTGGTGTCTCAGTGCCCCCTAGTCTCCCAGTGCCCCCAGTCTGCCAGTGTCTCACTGTCCCCATGTATCCTAGTGCCTCCATGTCTCTCAGTGCCTCGAGTGTCACAATGTCTCCATGTCCCCATGTCTCCAAGCTAGTGTCCCTGGTGTCTCCTTGTCCCCGTGTCTCCCAGTGTCCCCATGTCTCAATGTCCCCATGTCCCCCAGCCAGTGTCTCTAGTGTCTGTGTCCCCATGTCTTCAAGTGTCCCCTATTTTCCCAGTGTCCCCATGCATCCCAGCCAGAGTCCCCTAGTCTCCCAGTGTCACTGGTGTCTCCGTGTCCCTAGGTCTCCCCGTGTCCCCAGGTCTTCCCATCTTCCTAGTGACATGGGGACCCTGGGATACATGGGGACACAGGGATACATGGGGCATTGAGACACTGTGATACATAGGATCACTGGGAGACCTGGGGACACGACACTAGGGGACACTGGGAAACATGGGGTACTGAGACAATGATACATAGGAACACTAAGACCTGGAGAATCGACACATGGGAGCACTGGGAGACATGGGGCCACTGGGAGGAATCCATCTATACAGCAGAATCAAACTAAGTCGTTTTTTTGGTGATTTTACAGCATTTTCTCTTATGTCACTCCTTGTGATTTACATCATGTAATGTCACCATACATATTTAATTATGCAAATTAGCAAGGCCGGTATGTTTTTCCAAGAAAGGTGGCAACCCTTACTACTTTTCACATACTCTTACTTAAGTATGGAAACTTAAGAGGGATGTATGGGAACAAAACTTGTGTGGACTGGTTGACAATGGATATAGTTAAAGGGACACTAGAGTCACCAGAACTACAGCTTATTGAATTTGTTCTGGTGAGTAGAATCATTACCGTCAGGCTTTTTGCTGTAAACACTGTCTTTTCAGAGAAAATGCAGTCTTTACGTTACAGCCTAGTGATAACTTCACTGGCCACTCCTTAGATGGCTGTTAGAGATCCTTCCTAGGTCATGGCTGCCTAAAATGCATCCAAACATTCAGTGTCTCCTCCCTCTGCATGCAGACACTGAACTTTCCTCATAGAGATTCATTGATCCAATTCATCTCTATGAGGAGATGCTGATTAGCCAGGGCTGTTTTTGAATCAAGCTGGCTCTGCCCCTGATCTGCCTCTTTGTCAGTCTCAGCCAATCCTATGGGGAAGCACTGTGATTGGATTAGGCCACCACTTCTAATGATGTCAGCAGACTGCTTGTTTTTCTGAGTCTAACAGCATGCACAGTTACAGCTTCAGGCTTGAATACAGTAAGATTTTGCTATATTTATGGAGGCAGGAGGGCTAGATGGTGGTGTTAACACAATAGGGTCATGAATTCATGTTTGTGTTCCTGACCCTATAGTGATCCTTTAATGTAATGCTGACTTTGGTCTCTCTAACACTGTGGCATGTTCACTTTCTTCTACACTCACTACATACAGCTTTTCTCTGTCCCAGACTATAAACCAGGAGCTTCTGCCTGCTAGTAAGAAGGTAAGGAGACAAGTGGACCAGCGGGTGCTAGGGGACAGTCCTTAGAAAGCGTTGAGTGAGCGCATCATTAGATGCATTTATGCCAAGCTCAGGGTGCTGTCTGCATAGTATGCCCTAAGTTGGCCAGCTGCATGATTGCCAGGCAGCCTGACATGCATTCATACCAGGCTGGCCTTCTAATTCTTTGAGCAGACATGTCCTCTTTTTGGGCATGTTCGCCCCTTTTGGCAGGTTACGTGATTTGTGTCAGTGGCACAACCTTTTACCATGCCCATTTACTTCCTGCTTGACTGGACACTGCTGTTAGGCGTTATGGATTTATTTATGAAAAGATGAAAACATAAATTAGTGAGAGATTAGCCTAGGGTATGTGTTTTCTTATAGCTGCTGTTTTCTTTCTCTCCAGCACCATCAGATACATGATGCTTGGGAGTGTTTTACTGTTTTTGGTCGATACGATTCTGTAATTAGGCCCGTCATAATTGTTAGCACCAGGCCCACTGTGCTCTTAATCTGGCCCTGCTCACACACACTACATCACCTGTACACACATACACCACAGTCCCTATGCACACACTTGCTACATCCCTTATAAACACTATGCCCCTATACACACACACTTTCTCGTCCTCTACACCCGTTTGCCACACAATTTACACCACAAACACAACATGGCTGAAACTGACCTCTACACACAACACACACGTAATCCCACAATCACATCTTTCTTACTCCATATGCTGAGTGCCACAGGCATCCTCAGGATAAGCCATGTGTATGTGATAAAAATCTAATAAATTAAATGGGACCAAGATAAATACACCACACAAATTTTAATACTTATTGTATTATTATTTTTTTTAAATTCACAGCCCTCATCAGCTGTATCAAAATATAATATTTCCCCCCCGCACTATAAACCAGACAACAGACTAAGCATGATCTCCAAAAAAACCATGGGAATGGGTGAACACCAGCCTTAACAGGGGGGCGAACGTCTGGGGGACCGCCAGAAGCACGGGTCAGGAGACACCCGCACTTTATACAACACTGACCCACTACCATATAACATAACCAGCAATGACAAGGGACCAAATGGTGAGATATACACAGAACAAGGCTCAACAACCATCATTGCAAAACGGAGATAATACCAGAAGCACCAATCAGACACAACAACAGAACCTCAGAAATGCACATTACCTACCATCCACGAGTATTCACCCATAACACTACCTCAGGGCTGACATTGCCCCTGTGAGAACCCCCCTCCACCCTCACAAAAGAGCACAAAACCAATCTAAATACAGAAAAACACATACCGTAAAATGCTGAAATACGCCCCAACAGGGAAGACGACTATAACCCCTATATCCTACCCTAACGACGAACTCTCCAACACACACCCACCCTCCCAACCCCACCAACCCCACCTACCTGAAGGATATACACAAAGGAAAGTCGATGGACGGACAAAATTCATGAAGAGGGACTACACACCACTCATTTGAAACACTGGCATACCAGGGACACAGGGGTAGATACATCTCTTATGGGTCACACAACGAAAAAGACCAGAGACCATAGTCAGTATTCCCTACAAGACAACGGAATCTCTCCACCATACCTATTGTTTTTATATTGGTTAAGGTTACACTTAAAACCTGTTTTGTTTTGTGTATAACCGTTAAAAACCTAATAGAACAAGACCGCAAAGCAGAACTCTGAACTGTAACAAGATCACCCAACGAACCAACTTTTTTTTTGTGTACCAATGTGAAAACGCTGTAAAACATGAACTTTGGCTTTTGCATAAGCCCATGTCCTGTTCACTTGCTCGAATATTCTGTCATTGAAAATAAAGAATTACAAAAAAATATATAATATTTTAAATATATCCACTTTAGCAACAACAAGCAACAAAACACTTCACAGAGCAATTAATTGGTCTCCTCCACCTACGTGGAATCTTGAGAAAACTAGAAAATGCTGGCCCATCAACCTTTGTCGCTTTCATATTGTTGCTGCTGGTCTGTCACTGACATAGTGTGTCTATCGTGTTTTTACATATAAGGATAAAATGTGTTTTTGTTTTTTCTCTCTAATTCTGGACTTTGTGATTTCATTTGGTTTCTTTTTTTGGCATCACCTGAGAGGGATCCTCCTATTTCTGTTTTTATTTTGCCAGCCTATCTTCTGTTGACGGACTGATATCAAATTCTTTCATGTATCTATAGTCACGGTTTGGCTACTTTAGCCGGAAGTTGGTCTTTTTCTTAGCATTACGTTGTGTGAGAGAGAGACAGCTGTACAGCGATATACATTTAACACACCTATTTCCTGCAAACCTTTGAACGCCAATAAAGAAAAGAAACTTATGAGTTGTTGAGTGACAGTTCTGTGAAACTAGAAATTTTCTGTCAATTCTCGAGAGTCTCTGGGTTGTGCAACATATTAAGAATCTGCCATGAACTGTCAGGACCCGTTTCCAGGTGAGTTATTTTAGAGTTTAATACCGTGGATTTGGGCTGTAGAGGATTTGTTGGGTTTATTCACTTAACACACGCAAAACATTGCAGATGCTGAATATATTCTAAATCCTACCTTTTTCACCAAATTCCTCAGATAACACACCACTTTTCATTTGCATATTTTTTTTTTAATTTAAATGTTTTAATTCTCCATTTAGTTTTTTACCATATGCCAACATTAGTTTTGCTACCATACATTTTATTTTTTATTTTTTTTTAAATTTGATATGTATGCATTGGCTGGTGAGCAGGGCCTATCAATATATACCCACCTACCTCAAATCCTTATAGATTGTAAGCTCATTCGAGCAAATGTCCCCTATTTATAATTGTTAATCGATGGAGAACATGTTGTCGCTAATCAAATGGCAACAATAATAATTTGTCAGATTATTAATTTCGTTAATGAAGAGCAGGCAATGGATGGATGTGGCATGTGTAACCTATTAATATAAGTATTCCTAACACTATAGTGCCCTAGTAATAGGCCCTGCGCTGTCAGGGTTAAAAAAGGGGATTTATTCACCCTTCAGCACAGACTGAAATAGGATAGTTTAACTCTGCTATTTTATGGAAGCACTTCTGGTGACTGTCATATTGATGGCCACTACAGGCTGGTTAACCCTGCAATGTCAACATTACCGATCCTGCAGAATGGCAGTGTTTTCAATTAAGGGATAAAGGGGAAAAGGGGCACATGTCACCCAGGCCATTTCATTAAAGGACCACTATAGTGTCAGGAAAACAAACTTGTTTTCCTGGCACTATATAATCCCTAGGTCCCCCCACTCTCAGGTCCCCCCACTCTCAGGGCTCCCCTCCCGCTGGGCTGAAGGGGTTAAAACCCATTCAGCTACTTACCTTTATCCAGCGCCGGCTCCCTCGGCGCTGGTGACCTCTCCTCCCCCTCCGACCTTAGCTCCCGAGTGGAGCCAAATGCGAAAGAGCGGCCAGAGCCACGTGTGCATTAAAAACACCCAAAGGAAAGCATTTCTCAATGCTTTCCTATGGATGTTCTGCATGCTCAATGCGATTTTCGCATTGAGCATCAGGGAAGCACCTCTAGCGGCTGTCAGGAAGACTAGCCACTAGAGGCTAGATTAACCCTGCAATGTAAACATAGCAGTTTCTCTAAAACTGCTATGTTTACAGCTTCAAGGTTAAAACCTGGGGGACCTGGCACCCAGACTACTTCATTGAGCTGAAGTGGCCTAGGTGACTTTAGTGGTCCTTTAAGATTAAGTGGTCTGTGTGCTTAAAATGTGTTTATTGAAGCTCTGCAATATAAGTGATATTTATATGATACCACAGACAGACTAGAGTTGGTCAAAGCTTTTTAAACAGATAACAGATAACAAGTCCTGCCTGGAGTGTTATTTTATGCAATACATTTTGTTAGTAAAATTAGACTGGAAGAATGCTTGTTCCTCTATGATGGTGAAAACCTTTGAATTATTAGAAACAATATAGTTACGTGTCCTTAAATGACTCCAGAAGCATTGGTTGGCATCGGGGGATAAAATATGGTATCATGAATGATGGCATATGGGATCGTAGAATGAAATATCACATTTGAGATCTTTACTCTGTACCTAGGTCCTTATGGTTTACCAGTTTATTGTGAAGTAACTGGCAGCCCTCTCTCGTACAACTTGCACCACATTGCCTCAATAAACAGTTATGCTAAAATGGAAGAAAAAACAAAACAAATATTCAATGCAAGAACTAAATTTGTCTTCATATACACAGATTCAGTGGTGGAAAATAACGACCCAATGTCAGAGGTAGGTCAAGAGGACAACCCTATGGCTTTGCCATCAAGTACCCAAGACATAATTCCAAACCAGAATGAGAAGGTAAATACAAGGACATTCTACGCATGCCACTTCTGTTTTTTAAAGAGGAACTGTAGCCTTTGTTATTTTTTTTAATATTTACTTATTCTTTATGTTGAACATTTACTAAAGGGTTAAAGGGTTACTCCAAGCACTGTGTATTTAAGATTTGAAGTGGTCTGTGGAGTCTGCCCATGCAGCGTGGCGCTATGAAACGCTGCACTTGCCAAGATTAACTCTCTGTTACTGGAGGTGTAACTCCACTGCCATTAACTTCATTGGTGTATCTTTAGTCAGCCCAGAACAAGGAGCCCATGTCCCTCCTCACCTAATGTCGTGGATGAAGGAGGGATTAAATAAATTCTGTACACTTAATTCTGGAGCGATCTCTAATAAAAGCCTATGGGGGTCAATATGATCTCAATATTAGTATAAGGGAGGTTTAAATCCTCCCTCGTGCCCTTAGGCACCTTGCTGCAGATAAAAATTACTAAACATTGAGCACCTGGTGGCTGCTTGCTATCATTAAAGAATAGCAATTAATACAAGCTAATAAAATAAAGAATAAATAGGAAGAGACCTAGTGTCCCTCCCCAGTCATGAGCGTGAGCGGTATATTGCGGCTCAAAATATAATAACCTGGGGATACCTAGATATTATGGCTAGATATCATCTTAAGTGCAGGGCTCTCTCTACCTCTTGTATTTGTCTGTGTATATTGTACGTTCTCCACTAATTGTACAGCGCTGCGGAATCTGTTGGCACTTTATAAATACCAGTAATAAATAAATACCTATAGTCTCCCCTAACTCCCACCCATTGGTGGCAGGTGGGGGCTCTAATATGGGTGGCAGGTGGGGGCTTTAATAACTTTGGGGGTCATTATTGTCCACTAAGCTTGCATGATGGGAACAGCCCTTCCCCACTCTATGCAAACTCAATCAGAGCGCTCTGATTGGTTGGTTTGTAATGTGTTGGTGCTGGCTGAGAATATAGATCCCTACTTGGTTATTATATTTAGAGCCCCATCCGCTGTCAATGAGTAAAGGCTAAGGAGGGCAATAGTTCCCAACCCCCTTCCCGGGTTATTGTATTGAGAGCCCTCTCTAAGTCTCCAATGGGTGGTGGCTGGGGGGGGGAAATAGGCCCATTTATTATACTTAGAGCCCCAATCCGCCGCCAATGGGTGGGAGCTAGGGGGGACAATATTCCCCTGAATTATTGCATTTAGAGACCCACCTGCCTTTCATTTTATTTAATAGCTCCCACCTGCTGACTACAAGTGGGATCATGGATGGGGACACTATGTCTCCTCCCGCTTCATTATTTTATTAATTGCTTCTGTACCAGGTCACCCCTTTATTCTTCTTCACATCTAGTCTCATTAATCTTGTCTTGTTCATATTTTGTGTCAAATACCTGTTTTCAGTTGTGACATATTCCCATTCTATAATTCTAAATTGTCTGATCTCTTTTTGATAAAAAAAAACTTGCCCAATATGCAATAAATGATGATGAGTTTGGTAGACAGAAAGATCAAAAAAGTTGCATTGTTATAGAATTGTTCTTCGGTTGATATAATAAAATGTAACACCGTCTGATAATTTCAAATGCTTTGGGAGATAACTAGCATATTTCTATTCTCAAACGTCGTGATAATACATATTCTGATCACATTTTTCTCACCATATAGAAAGGTCCAGTACATGTCTGCATCCGGGAATGTATTGATGACAAAGATGACAAGTCAAATGCAATACATCAGCTTCTGCAATTAAAGAAGTCAATGGTTGAACTCTTAGATGCATATGACGAAAAAATGAGTACAATGCACACTGTGGCTTTCCAAAATAGAGAGAGACTTGCTCAATCATTTCAAGACCTAAACCACTACTTGTTAAGAGAAAAGGAAACTCAACTGGCCACGGGAAAGGACAAAGAAATTAAACTTGTACAAAATTTGGATGAGAGAGTTTTGGATTTGGTACGTATGGCAACCTCCGTAGAAGATATGCTGCTGAAACTGGAACAAAAAAAGCCAAGAAGATGGAAAACTCCTGCAATGAACCAAATAAAAGATGCCAAAGATAAGTTAAGGGAATTTAGTAGATCTGAGGAGAATCTGGAGGGACAGATGTCTGCTGTTCAGCTCAGGGAGTGGAGAGGCCTGAGACATTTTGTTAAACCAATACCAGAAACACTATACTTTGATCCACAAAGTGCCCATCCTAACCTGGTCCTGTCACCAGATCTCAAACAGGTGAAGGTTGGGTTCTTTCTTCGTGAAATAATATATGAGAAACACTGTTTTATGCCAGGCATATACATACTAGGAAAGCCTGGATTCCACTCTGGGAAACACTACTGGGAAGTTGACGTTGGACAGAAGACTAACTGGATCATTGGTGTTGCGAAGGAATCCGTGAAACGCAAAGAAAACCAAGATCTGAGCCCAACGAATGGATACTGGGTTCTACGTAAAGCGCAAGACCACGTGTTCTATTGCCTTGAAGCTTCCCATCTATGTCTGAAAATGAAAGCCTCTCCCATGAGGATAGGTATCTATCTGGACTTTTCAAGTAGTCACCTAAGTTTTTATAATGTAGATCTTGCATGCCTGATTTTTGAGCTCTCTGATCTCCCCATTGAGGAGGCACTTTTTCCCTTTTTCTGTCCAGGGATTCCTTTGCTGATAGAAGATTTTCCTCCACTAACTCTCATTAATTAAAGGGTTACTCCAACCACCATGACTACTTAATTGATTTAAATAATAACATAATAATAATAATGTATGTGTAGTGTTTAAGCTTGAGATATTTTCACTTGTGTGCTGAAGGCTAGTTTCACCCCCAGAACACGTGGCATTGGCAGCCCAGAACTCTCCTCTCCCTCTTTAACTGTGGGTGTTGGGTGCCCCTACCACCTCCCTCCATCACACATTTGTCAATTAAAAAACCAAAATGTTCCCTGTCACTGTGCTTGCCATGTATACAGAATACTCTGTGTGATGTGGATACTAGTCTATAGTGGACTTGTGTGATGCATTTAATGTGAGGAGTTTTATAGTCTGCCAGTCTAAAGTGTTTTAGGTGTGTGTGACGGACCACCTGGCAGTCGGACTGGGTGCCTCCGCCAATCGCTGCTTCCTAGTTGCCTTCAGTACTATAAGCACCACACCGGACACCATAAGCACAGTAGCCCTTTAGCCGCCGCAGCTTGGCTGGGGTCTTGCCATCTTCCACCCACCCTGGACCTAAGACAAGGATCCCGCTTCCAGTGGGTGAACCTCTCCTCCTGCAGAGAGTATAGCAGGTATAGCTGTGTAGCTCTTACAAGAGCTAGTGATTATAGCCAGTATAGTAATCAGAAGTAGGTATAGCTGGTATAGCTGTTCCCTACAATCACAAGATGAGGCTGCGTGTTGAGGGTGAAGTGAACTGATTTTAATGGGACCACACTTGGTCTTTTATGATAGTCCCAATGCAAAGGGCACTACCCCCTGGACCTGAGAGTAAACCACAGTAGAAACAAATACGCAAACACATTGGCTCTCAGATCCAGGACACTCATAAAAGATTAATCCCTGTATTAACTCAATTATCTCCAGACACAAAAATACACATTTTTATAAAACCCCCAAAATACCTTTAAAACATACAAAAGCTGCACAAAGGTTACATCCCCTGATAGCCACGATCTGGGTGAACAACATATCCAAAAATCCCAGATCGGTTCAGGCGTTCAAGAATTTCCTGGAAGTCATAGTTTTGCAACAGTTCCATAGAATCGCGGCTAAGTGCTGCTGGGGACTGACCAGGAACCACAAAGTCTCCCTGCCGAAATCAGTTCCATAGATTCGCGGCTAAGTGCCGCTGGAGGACCAACCAGGAACTGCGAAGTTTTCATGCCGAAAATAGTTCCAGGGCATTCGCGGCTAAGTCCCCCTGAAGTCTATTCGCGGTTTTGGTCCATGCGAACGGCCGTCAGTGAGCTAGCGTTCGGTTCTATGGAAAGTGTCGAACCAGGGGAACCAGGGGGAATAAAATATGGGTCTTTACTGTCGCTGATCTGGCCCATAGTCTTTTGGCAGGAGGCTGGCAAGCAGACCCCTCGAAGAACCAGGGGCGAGGTTCTGTTCGCCACAGTGTGCTACTGGCTCCATAGAGGCCAATAGCACATACCTCAAAACCATACAGATTTTCGTGTCCTGTCCCGTATTAGTTTTCTGCTGTCCCGCTTTTAGAGACAACAGGGAACTGTCCCCAACAATCATAGCACATCATAATAAGACATGCTCATGCCCAAGTTCAGTGCACTAGGATCCTGCAGAGTTCAATGAAACAGTGCTCCTTGCATGTCCTGCTCTCAGGGGGCCTACCTGAGTGATGGGCAGGCAGCTTGGCATGCATTCACGCCAGACTGACCTGCCATTCACTTGAGCGGACCTGCCCCCTTTTAGGCAGGCCATCCCCTTAATTGACAGATCAGTCCCTTTGGGGGTAGGGGCAGTCATGCAATCTCCTCACTGGCCCCGCCCTCTTTACCTTCCTCCCACGTATTCAGATTCTTAACATGTCAGAGTTGAGAGCTATGCTAGCATACCTCTTGGATGGTACAATCCTGTAATTTGTCCTATGCTGTATCAGTCAGAGTGGTGCATACCTCCCAACTGTCCCTATTTAGAAGGGACAGTCCTTATTTTGGGGCCAAATATGAATCTCTTCTATTCTAATGTCCCTCCATATTTCTGGTTTCTGAGTGTATAACAGCAATTATGCTCACAGAAATGTGTTTTAAACTTTAATAAATGTGTTTAGAGATCATTCTGTGTAAATAAGATGCTTTGTTCTTGTTCTGTGAGTGTGTTCAGCAGTCTGTGTGTGTGTTTGTGTGTGTGTTCAGCAGTCTGTGTGTGTGTATTTAGCAGTGTGTGCCAGCATTGAGCAGTGTGTGTGTTCATCAGTCTGTGTATGTATGCAGCAGTCTGTGTGTGTATTCAGCAGTCTGTGTGAGTGTGTTCAGCAGTCTGTGTGTGTGTGTGTTCATCAGTCTGTGTATGTATGCAGCAGTCTGTGTGTGTGTTCAGCAGTCTGTGTGAGTGTGTTCAGCAGCCTGTGTGAGTGTGTTCAGCAGTCTATGTGTGTATATTCAGCAGTATGTGTGTGTGTATTTAGCAGTCTGTGTGTGTGTCTTTATGTGTGTATTCAACAGTCTAAGTGTATTCAGCAGTCCATGTGTGTATTTAGCAGTCCATGTGTGTATTTAGCAGTCTGTGTATGTATTATATGTATGTATTATATTTGTTGGAGAAACCAATAAACATAAGCTAATATTTATCGTTAATATACATTTTTATTCTTGTTAGTGGTTGTGTAGGCAGGGCCCCGCCCCAGTGCACTGCTTTGCCCAGTGACCTATAATGCTGTTAAGATGGCCGTGATCCTAAACCAGATTCAGACGAGGCAAAGGTACGACAAACATTGCAAATGAAAAATGGTAACATGGCTAATTAACAGGTAGCTAAGATGGGGGTGTCCAGTTGCAGGGTAAAGATATTGTGAATTTCTACATTTAGATTTTATTATTTTTTTTACAAATTTTCATTTGTTAAATATAAGTAAATCTGATCCAAGAATCCCGGGTACTGACATTTCTCCTTTAATGCCATATTTTTACCTGATGATTAGATTACCTCTCATCTGTGTTACATCTGGTTTACCAAAGTAGGAAATTGAAATATATTTCTTTGAAGTAACCTGGGCTATGTGATAATTCAACCTCATTAAAGTAACACTACAAGCATAATCATCACTAAAGTTGTTATGGTGCCAATAGTTCGCTTGTAACCCCTATTGAAAGTAGTCAAACTGTTAAAGAACAGTTTCACTTTTGAGGTCTGCCAGGCGCCACTCATTGCCTCATCTCTAGCCAGAAACTCTCTATCAGACTTAGCAGTGCAGGTTTAAGCTCATTGGTTGATAAACTGAAGCTCTCAGCCAATGATATAGTCCAGGAGGAGAGCTAATGGAAAGACCTAAGCAATAGCTGCCAGCTCTCCTGGTGGCTGTGAGGATGCAGGGAGCTGCACACACTGGACCTCAGGTAAGACATCAGACCATTCAAAATGTTCACCCCTGGCACTGTAGTGGTTATGGTGTTTGGCATGTTCCTTTAAGAATATGGAATTATTTGTTTTGTTGCAGAGATCACAGAATTCCATTTGGTTTTCTGAGAAATGGCTTGAACACTTTACACCTTGGACCTTTGGATCTGGTTTCCCTTCTCCTCAGAGTTCGATGTACACAAACATACTTCTCACTAATCTTGAGTGGGAGAGGGAAGAAACATTTAACCGTACAGTGTACAGTGACATTTGGGTTCTTTGTTTTATACAGAAGCAGTACAGAACATTGTTGGCTATAGTAGTTATACAGCAATCCTTATAGACAATTCCTATATCACATACTCATAGCAATCTAACCCTAACTTTTAGTAGCATGACGGATGAGTGCCCATGGCTAAACATTGTTAAAGCTAGCACCCACATACAGTTACTATGTAACAGCTACCTTTAAAACTCGAAATACACCAAATAAGTAGTGAGATCTCCAATATGTTTGGGTTACCCTTAAACAAAGTAGGTGGCTTAGTGCAATGTCCCATGGTTCTAGCTTTAAAGGGACACTATAGACACCCAGACCACTTCAGCTCATTGAAGCAGTCTGGGTGCTGTGTCCCAGGTCCCTTAACCCTGCAAAGGTAATTATTGCAGTTTTTTACCTTTGAGGAGTCTTCAAGACAGCCATTAGAGGTACTTCCGTGCTGTTAGGCAACTTTTGGTCCAGTTTCTCCTGAATCCCCATAGGAAAGCATTATATAATAAAGGCCATTGCCGCGTATGGACATTATGTCAGTTACTTTAATTTGTTTTATTTAAATTAAAAAAGTATCCTTCCCATGCTAGCTCAAAGCGTGTGCATGCGCTGAGATGGGGAAATTTTTCTTTGAGAAGCATTCGATTAGATCAAGCGAGACCCTTGGTGACGTCAGAAAAGGGGCGGATGTTTAACACAGTGCAAAATTGTTTTAAAGTCTTTTTTGCAAGTTTGAAACAGGGGTGCAAGCCAGTAACACCCAACATGGCATTTTAAGTTTTGGGGTTTTTTTTTGTCATTAAATATGCTTTATTTCTTTATTTTAACAGGGGGAGGATGGTTACTCCATTTTATAAGAGTGCTTTATTAAATCACAGGTTTTTTGTTTTTTTTTATAGTTCTTTATTTTTGCAGTGCATGATAGTTACCAAGCATACAGTGACATTTTTAAATGAAAAAATCAATAAAATACGGTGGAAACAGGTTTGTTATAAAGTGTCAAATATAAAGCACTATTTTTTTTTAAACAGGAAAACATCAATGCATAGAGAGTGCCAAGACAATAAGAATTAGATCAGGACATATGCAGTGGATGTGTAGACAGGCATTAGTATTTTTGCACAGGCTAGTTTTAGTAGTCACCCCACCTATCTAAGAGGTCATAAGAGTATAAGCTATTAATAGTAGTAGTGGCGGTCAGACTACACAGGTATTGGAAGGCTTAAATGCATTATACAGTTGCAAGAAAAAGTATGCGAACCCTTTGGAATGATATGGATTTCTGCACAAATTGGTCAGAAAATGTGATCTGATCATCATCTAAGTCACAACAATAGACAGTGATTGTCTATTGTTGTGACTTAGATGATGATCAGATCACAGTCTGCTTAAACTAATAACACACAAAGAATGAAATGTTGCCATGTTTTTATTGAACGCACCATGTAAACATTCACAGTGCAGGTGGAAAAAGTATGTGAACCCCTAGACTAATGACATCTCCAAGAGCTAATTGGAGTGAGATGTCAGCCAACTGGAGTCCAATCAGTGAGATGAGATTGGAGGTGTTGGTTACAGCTGCCCTGCCCAATAAAAACACACACCAGTTTTGGGTTTGCTTTTCACAAGAAGCATTGCCTGATGTGAATGATGCATCACACAAAAGAGCTCTCAGAAGACCTACGATTAAAAATTGTTGACTTGCATAAAGCTGGAAAGGGTTATAAAAGTATCTCCAAAAGCCTTGATGTTCATTAGTCCACGGTAAGACAAATTGTCTATAAATGGAGAAAGTTCAGCACTGCTGCTACTCTCCCTAGGAGTGGCTGTCCTGTAAAGATGACTGCAAGAGCACAGTGCAGACTGCTCAATGAGGTGAAGAAGAATGCTAGAGTGTCAGCTAAAGACTTACAAAAGTCACTGACAAATGCTAACATCCCTGTTAGCGAATATACAATACGTAAAACAGTAAACAAGAATGGATTTCATGGGAGGATACCACAGAGGAAGCCACTGCTGTCCAAACAAAACATTGCTGCATGTTTACAGTTTGCACAAGAGCACCTGGATGTTCCACAGCAGTACTGGCAAAATATTCTGTGGACAGATGAAACCAAAGTTGAGTTGTTTGGAAGAAACACAGAACACTATGTGTGGCGAAAAAAAGGCACAGCACACCAACATCATAACCTCATCCCAACTGTGAAGTATGGTGGTGGGGGCATCATGGTTTGGGGCTGCTTTGTTGTGTCAGGGCCTGGACGGATTGCTATCATCGAAGGAAAAATGAATTCCCAAGTGTAACGGACCGTTTTGCACACAAGGGGTAAAAACCGTTTAGGCGATCGTCCCCCTTTCCAGAGATGCAGGCACAGCTATTGTAGAACACCAAACACACGAACCGCCAATAAGTGAATGCTCCAAACTCCCGAACAGCATCCAATATAGCACTCCAAACACACGAACAGGAACCATACGAATCGCTGCTAGCAGACGAATAGGAAAAGCATCCAAGCGGCTTACACTCCTAGCAATCAGTCTCTATCAGTAAATCCCCCCAAAGACGAGACAAGGCTCCGTGTTGAGGGTCAAGCAGTGGTCTGTTTAATGAGGGCTACCTGCCCAGTATTTATGCAGGTCTCCCACCTGGTGGACACTCCCTAGGGGACCAAATGGGAGACTGTGACAAAAGACAGACAAGTAGACAAATAGGACACACAGTCACATTATATTCCCACAATGCATCCTGGCTTCCTCCCCTCTGCCTTGGAGATAATTGAGAAGTAATTCAGTTATCTCCCAAGACAAAGGCAAATCGCCATTATGCACGTGGGGATACTAACACACAAATTACTATTAAAATACACTATGTGAGACACGTTACAATAAAACTATACATTTAACATATCCAGATTGAATCTACCGAACACCAGGCAGAAAAGCACGAATAAAGCTTTTCTGCAGGCGAAACAAAGTCTTTTAACATGGGGGCCATAGTCCAAAGGCAGCAGGCGAGCAACCAGGCTTCTCCAATGCAATGTGGCGAGATTGCTCTCGTCACACCAAGTTTTTCAAGATATTTTCCAGGAGAACTTAAGGCCATCTGTCTACCATCTGAAGCTCAACAGAAGATGGGTGTTGCAACAGGACAATGACCCAAAGCATTGAAGTAAATCAACAACAGAATGGCTTAAACAGAAGAAAATACGCCTTCTGAAGTGGCCCTGTCGTAGTCCTGACCTCAACCCGATTGAGATGCTGTCGCATGACCTCAAGAAAGCGATTCACACCAGACATCCAAAGAATATTGCTGAACTGAAACCGTTCTGTAAAGAGGAAAGGTCAAGCATTACTCCTGACCGTTGTGCACGTCTGATCTGCA